CCTCTAAAAACGGTTACATTCTGTATAATTACATGTTAATGTGCAAGTGAAACACAGGATGTTTACCATATCTTGATCTTATTCTTTTATAGGTTCCAAAACCTGTCTCCTCCCTATGGCTTTCACCCTCTTTGTCATCCCCACAAAAGATCACAAAAACCATGACAATCTCATCTTCAAGCACAGAGGCTGAAGCAGGGCCAGATATAAAGAGACAATCGATGAGTACGGCAGGGACAAACAGTGGGATACGAAGAGGGGGGTGCTGGGAGTGTGAGAAAGTAAATAGTAAAAATGGGACAAGACGCTTCGCCACATACAGGGAATAGATGGAGACAGTCAGTCAGACAGACAGTGTTGAGTAGGGGAATGTAACAGCTTCATCCCCAGTGACCCGCTTGCTTGCTTCCTGAAAATGTGTCCATAGCTGAACGCTCCCAAGGGTCTCAGTTTGACTCACACCACACTTACTACATCTCTGTAGCTGGAAACAGCCTGCTGCCTGCTCAACCTATTCCTGAGAGATGAAGGCAGAGATGGAGGCCCAAGAAGAAGAAAAAGGACAGAGAGAAAAATCCATTTCTACAAGAAATGCAAGTCAGCAGAAAAGGGTGATGAAATGGCTGTTTAAGCACTCTGCAGTAATTTCCATACCCACTGTTAGGTGTTCCCCTTAAATGTATAGAAACCGTCCCGTCCCACAGTTAGTTTAAATACATTGAGATATTCAGTTTAACGGGAAGAAAATAGCACATATTATCTAGAGTTTCGTGTGCTTGCACAATCAATGTTGTTTAAAGTTCAGGAAATAATATTGCAAGTAAAGTAGGACTTGTGACATGCTGAACATACGTATGCACCTTATTTTCACCTTTCTGCTGGGTGTACAAATAGCTGTGGTGGCACTTAAAATATTTATGATTTGCACCTGGTGCTGTGTCAGCAAATTCATGTTGTTATTGTGTGTGTGTGTGAGAGAGAGAGAGAGTGTTTTTAATTTTAATAGAAATGCTAAGATTCTCTGAAGCAGAGCGTATCCAAGTAACATCACTTTGGATCGTTGGTTTCTATTAGCAAAACGGTATTGGCTCAGTCCTCCGTAGCAGGGAGACCTATTCAGACGTAGACCAACCTGTCTGGACTATTTGGAATGACAAGACACACCTAAACCAGCAGTTCTCAACATAAATTCGATGGGTCAAAAGATGATTATAAAAAAACTTTATAAATATATTTTATACTTTTCTATGGTATGGGCGGGCACTTTCATATCTCAAAAAATCTTTCAAATGAAACAGTCTTGAAATGCTCATATCTCACAGCCATATTAAGGCCATAACCTGTGTTGAGGTGTTACATAACTTCATATCAATGGGCCGCAAGTTAAAAAAGTAATAGCAGTTATTATTAAATATGTGTAGACATATGTATATCAACAATTTACTGAGCTAGAAATGGTGATTCATGCCTATAGAGTCAGAGACAGCAACCTTTACTAAAATTACACAACATTCCCGACACTTGTCTACTTGCAGCTAGCATTATGATAGAAACAGTTGAGGGCTCTGTTGCTGGGGTGCCTTGACTCTCGTGATCATCTGATAAACCAGGTTGTTTTCCACATTGCTATCAGATCAACAAAAACTGAGATAAAAGAGGTTACAGTGAATGCAGTTCAGCATTACAGGTTGTGTAAGTAGTCCTCCAACAGTGTGCAAACGGCCCCTGCAAAGGGAACCGTTTACACAAAGATTTCATTCAGCTGGAGAGATAGCATACAGAAGTTATGACAGCCATTTTCTGCTCCTCTGTGGTTACGTTTCTACTCTCCAGTATCACTGCCTTCCCATTCATGCCTCACATTGTTTTACTTCTCCCCCTCACACACAAACACACACACAATCAATCTCTTGTGAAAATTATTATTTTTCAGGTGTAGTCGTCCGTTGCAGAGGATCCCCCTGGCGAGGGTGCTGAATTCAGTCATGCCTCCATGTGCATACATACACACACGTATAATTTAAGTTTTCGAACACTGCAGTCCACCAGCTAGATTGGTGATGTCATTCTGTCTGCTGCAGCGCCAGCAGAGGAGGCAAGCGAAGGGGGTAGAGTGAGAGAGAGAAATGTAAGAAGCAAGGGATAGAGAAGGGAAGGAAGGCAACAAGAAAGAAAAGCTGAGATAAAGACGAGGAGAGGGGAGTTTCAGGGCAGAGGACTTTCTGTGATGAGATAGGGGAATAATTTTACTTGGTAATTTTGAGCTTCATTATTAGGAGCCTTGTGCTGTCTCAGCCTCAGGACAGTTGCACGCACATTGCACGACAGTGTGTGTTGATATTGCTAATGTTAACCGTGGAGCCGCTGAGCAGGTTATTGTCTTTCTTTTGGTCCAAACAGGATGATTAATGTGCGGGCTCATTTTTGCTCAGCCCACAAGCCTGAAGCTTGTCATCTCTCTATGGGAATAATCGGAGACCCACATTCATCTGAAACATACTGGAGTCCAGCAAGCAGAGAAATCACCACAGAACATTTTTAGACTGTGACATGTGCACTGCACCTGTTTGTCTGAGTTAGTGGATGGGTGTGGTCCCCCTGCATCCTTATCTCAACACGCCATACACTCACTGCTTGACGCAAGCAGTTGTATACGCAAACATACACGCATGAAAATGCAGGACTGACCACCAGGAAAGTAAATTTGCGGTAACCAGTGACATTCTGCTTGAGTCTTTGATTCTAGTCGTCGTAGTCTTGTAAACTTCAGCAGACTTGTTTCAGGGGTGGGGGCTGAGTCCAGGGGGGCTGGAGGCCAGCAGAGGGGCCTCAGTCAGGGTCACCATGGTGTTACCAAGCCACCATTTGCTGTGAGACGATGCATATTGTGTTTGGTTGTGTGTGACTTTGCATCAGCTGTATTTGCATCTACTTTGATGGGTCACCATGGCAGAGTCTGCAAACATTTCCTGCAACAGAAAGTATATACCTGTATAAAAAGAAGTCTTCCTGTATACATAGTACAATACCTCTAAGTTTAACAGTAAGATAGTGGACTTACTAGATTTATTATGAATTAATTAAGATTAGTTTCGGAAAACAGTACTGTTTTGGGCTGGTGCATCTCAGTCTGGTGGTCGTAACTCCGGTAAGAGGTGTGCATGTGGTGTCTGTGCAAGGATGGGAGGTGTACTGGGATCAGTTTATTGCTCTGCAGCGGTCTAGAGGTAGGAGGTTAGTGGGGTTTCATTTTCTTCAAAGTGAATGAGAGAGTCTATTTTAGAGGGAGAACATGGCTTACCAAGACATCTTGGCAACTGTGAGTATATTAAAACTGTTAACTGAGACACTGAACAGACCACAATAGAGACAGTGGTCTAGAGACTTTATCTGCTGAAATGCTTTTATGTTTTTATACATTTTAGTTTAAACATTTCTTAATTTTAAAGTAATGATCTAAATATCATACTAAATATCGTAGATTTATAAATCCATTGTTTTGCTTAACAGTACGCCCAGTGTTTTCTTTTTCATGTGGGGGAACGTCTAATCAGTGTTTTGCCTGTCAGCATGTACGTGAGTGTGACTCACACTCAAAGGCTTTTTACTGCAGAGTAGTTCCTCTCAATTGTCTGTGAGCAAAAGCTAAAAACAAAAACATTTATTGGAGAGAATGACAATGACTCAGAGGCAAGCAGCTCTCCACATGAGTCCGTGTACTCACACAAAAGCCCACTGCTGTGGCAAAGTTTCTACTTATCAGATGAACTTCCACGTATCTGTTCATATCTGTTCTATATCCATCTTTATACCAGATATGAGGAACAGGAATAACAGACTGTTGGTTAATGTTTTGCTACTTCAATCAGATGGAAGAAGCAAGTATTCTGTTTCCCTGCCATTGCCAAAGAGGGTGACCTCTCTCTTTGCACAGCACTGTGCCATTGGTGTCACGCTGAGCGTGTGTTGTGTCATTTGTTGCTATGCCTCTACTTCAGGCATGTGGATCCTTTCTCTTTTTTACTCAGGCTCACTCCCTCTCTGTCAGAAGAGGACCAACAACCCTGTCAAAATTTCTTTTGGAGTGTGTGATAGCAGCATTTGGTGTTTTTCTTTTGGAACAGAAAATGCTGCTGTGAGGTTTATAAATGAATGTATTCCCTGCATTTGTGTGAAAACAGACACCGAATGATTGGATGGATGTTTTCCTGACCAGCATGTTGAGCTAGCTGGTTAGATGTAGGGAGGGGAGGGGCACAGGGGAGAGAGGAGATTATGTAAATGAAATGAAAAAGTGCAGGGTTTGCCGCAGTCGAGTTTCTCCCTGTGGTTCTCCCTCGGTCGCTCCTGCTTCTCCTCCTCTCCTCTCCCTCGCTCTCCCCCTGTGCCGCATGAGTGATCCTGTTTCAGCAGCACCCCTGCCTGCCTGGGAGAGGCATGAAGGCCCTCAGACACAAACAAAACACAGACAAAAACACTAGACGTGCCATGTGCCGGCCCGTGAGCCAGAACGCGCTTGCGCGCTCTCTCTCTCTCTCTCTCTCTCTTTCTTTCCTATCTCCATTCACCTTGTGTCTCTTCCACTCTCTCTCAGAGTCCAGACAAAGAACCAACAGTCTGCTGTCAGTATTATCACACTTGCCTTATCACCTAAGTACAGGGCAGTGGATAGACTATTTGGGAGTTGGGAGTTTGTGTATTCCACTATTTCACCTGCACCACACCCTCTAACATACACATTGTACACATACACATTTTCAAGGTGCAGATGCTGATTTTCAAACTGCACTGTCCAAAATCTCAAGGGTGGAGTGACATGAGAGGAAAACTAATAGATTACTGCTGAATGGTTTCAGTCCTTCAAATGCCCCTAAAGAGAAATTAACCAAACTCTGTCTCCCTCTCCATTTTCCCTCTCCGCTTCTCTACTTTATGTGTCTCTCACTTTCTCTCATACCCCTTATCCCCTTCCTCTTTCCTTCTCTGTGTTCTGCTTGCAGGCAGATGCTGGCAACAGTTTTCTCCGAGCGGCCCGTTCTGGCAACTTGGACAAGGCCCTGGATCATATCAAAAATGGCATCGATATAAACACAGCCAATCAGGTGAGAGAGCCGCAATTCCCCAGACTGAATTGGTTAAAGTTATAGCTTCTGACTGGCAAACTCATCAAACTATTAGCCAGTGATTTTTTTTCTACTGCACTTGTGTCTTTATTCAAATCAGACAATTTTCCTTATCTGCAAAACTGATCTTCTGTTCTACTGCGTTATAGGGCTTTACAAGAATAGAAACAGAAATATTTGAGTATTTATGAGTATTTATGGCACCTGTGGCCCACGGTCAAATCCTGACAGGATTAGTTCTTCTGTCTCCCTATCTGCTTTCTAACTAATTAAATTAAATTTTGAGAGGTGAGTGAACTGCCTACCTCTCATTCAAAAAAGAACAGCAATGTGTGAATGGAAAAGGCATTACAATTTAGCTAATTGTATTTACTCACAGTGAAGTCATTTTTCCTAATCGGATCTAAACAGAAAAATGACTTGCAGTACGTTTATCCTACAGTTTAACAAAGATATATAAGAAACATATGATTTCATTTGGGATCTAACTCATAATGGTTTTGCATTATGTTCTCCTCATATACCGTCTATCTGTACCACCATTGGTATTATATTTTATTATGTTTCTATATTAATGTGTTGTGAGTGTCCTGTTTGCATGATGTGTCAGACTTGATCACTGTGCTGTTAATGTGCCCATTCATCTGCCTGTGCACTCAGTCACTGTATGTGCATGCTCAGGTAGGCTCTTAATCAGTGGCTGAAGGTGGCAGGTAGAGTTTCCAGTGTCTCCAGGGAAGGCAATAAACAGGGCAGGGGCTTCTCCTTCGCCCTGTCTCCTCCATCCTGCCTCCTTTACTCTGACGGTTTTTCCCAGAGTGTCCAGGATGAGGCAGCGTTAGTGGGCTAGGACGGCTGCCCTCAGGCTACTGAAACTTGGCCAAAATAGTATGTGTGTGTGAAAGAGATTCCGCTGGCTCATTAATCTAACTTAGTCATGGTTTCCCTTCCATTCTTTTATGCTGTCCTCCACATTTTGTAATTATTGCTGGTAATGCTTCTGTCAGGATTTCTATGAGGCTTACTTTAAGGCCCCTTAACAGACCCCACATAACAACAGATCTATTCATAGAAGTGACACTGTACGAGTGGCAATTACTGCACACTTCTTCACAATGATGAAGGGATGGATATATAATTACAAACAGAAATACAGTCTGATACCAGTAAGTTTGTGACATGCAACATAAATTCTTCTGAATATATAATTTAATTTCATAGGTTTTTTTTTTATATTTGTCATATGATATTGTGTTATTTTCAGTGTATGGTGTCAATTTTGTTTCAGTTAAAGTGATAATTGACAACGTTCTTGTTTCAATTGAATTAGCAACACCTTTACAGTGCACACACATTGTTTCACGATTTGGCACTGACCCTCCGTATGTAAAATTTCTATGTGATTATAGCATCTTTGAAACTAGTCTGGTGGGTTTTTGTTTATAGAAAAATAGATGAAAATCGGCACAACGTATTGTAGGTGCTGTTTCAGTCAAGCTGTACAGCCACTGGATGGCAGCAAAGTTAGACATTTTTAAATTGTACATGTAGTGGCTTCAATGTTGCTTTTGCAATAATGACTAAAACACAAATTAGATGTTTAGACAATTTCATCCATAGTCCCTTGGCAGGTTATATAATAATAAAATAAAATATTTAAAGTATAACACTGAGCTTTGGCTTTGCTGCCTGGTAATTAGCCCAGTCTTCACAATAATATACATTTAGCTGTGGTTATACAATGCCTATAGGCTACAGCTGCAGCAATACATGTTAAAACAGTAAAATAAACCTATACAGCTTTTTGATTAGCTTTGGCTAATGAGTAGACAATGTAAACCTATAGGATGACTGCAGCTATATTGTCTGGACAGACGTTGCTGCTAGACAGCAATTCATTTTGTGCACACGCTTATGAATGCATGTTCACTTGTGACATGCTTATCTTTTCCAAGCTGCAGTTTATAAACACTATTCTCCATTTAATATATATATATAAATATTTGTTTTTCACCCACATGCTCACAATTATTATTAATACAGGTCTCTGGTGAATCTACTGTATCATAAATTCTACTTTTCCATTAGAGTTTTGTAAGAAAAAGTTGTGAATTGTCACTTAAACCAGCCAACTTGGTGAGAGTATTGTTGTTTTGGTTGTGTGTCCTGTTGCTGTATGTACAGTCTGTACTGGTGGGAGTTCGGCCAGGTGGAGGCTTGCTCACCAGCACGTTGCCTCACTCCTGCCCTCCCTTCTCCACTAACAACTTCTCCACTACCATCTCTCCTCCTGTTTGTGTACTGTTTTCTAACTCACCTCCTTTTCTTTCTTGCCTTTTCCTCCCCTCTTTCCTCTCTCCCTCCCTTCCCTCTCTACTCTGTATGCAGTAGAGTGATGGTGTGCTGTGGTCTCCCCACTCAGAGGAATAATATCAGTGGTGTGGGAAAGGTCCAACCTCACATGTCCTGTGCGGCTGAAGGAAGGCTGTGTGAGGTCAGACCTATCCCACACGGCTCGTATTCTTCCCAGCCACGAGACCAGCGGCCTGCCATCCCCCTCCCATCCTCCCCCTCCCCCCTCCTCCTCCTCCTCTCACCATCATTAATCAAATGAAAATGTTCACATTCTGATTTCATCCCTGTAGACATTGTTTTTGCTAATGACCCCTTTGATTCAGAGAGTACTGCATGCGTGGTGTCCAGTGTAAGTATTTGTCTGCTTTGGTTTGTGATTGCCTCAGTCACTGTGATTAAAACCCCACTTGTTTCAGTTGGAATGGTCAACATGTGTTTATGTGTATCTGTGTGGTCATTTCTTTTAGATTAGGAAATATTTGTGTTCATAGTGTGCTTAGGACCCTTCAGTATGAGGTTTACTCTGCTCTCTCACTCAGAATGGGCTCAACGGGCTGCATCTGGCCTCGAAAGAAGGCCATGTCAAAATGGTGCTGGAGCTACTCCACAATGGAATTGTACTGGAGACCACCACAAAGGTGAAACCCCCTGCCAAAAAAATCCATGATCTTAACTCCTCAGAAACTCACAGATCTTACTCACTATGACTAGCCAAGGCTACAAATAGTCCAGCACATTACACCCCTAGTAAAACCACAATGTTTCGATTTGTGTACAGATTCGATAAATTAGATATAATGTATTAGGTCTTGAGTTTTAGAGTTGCTGGTAGGTGGATTTTGTTACCTTTTGGACTGAGCAAGGCCTGCTGTTTCCCCCCTGTTATCAGTCTTTATGCTAAGCCAAACTAATTGGCTGCTGGCTGCAGCTTCATATTTAGCGTGCAGACGTGAGTATGGTATTAATCTTCTTATCTAATCCTCAGCAACAAAGCAAATAAGCATGTTTCCCAAAATGTTGAGCTATTCCTTTAACATTTTCCTCATTAAAACAACTGTTGAATTGTTTTAACTTGTGGTGAGAATCCAGCTTGGCACCATCTAAATGTGTCTTAGTATCAAAAGTGTTGACAGTTGGCATGTAATGCTTGCTCAGATATGTACTTTACCATTTCTTATGTAGTTTTTGAATTAAATCATAGTTTTTGTGTTGCAACCAAAACTAGTATTTACACTAACATACAACATCACTATGATACCCAGCCCTATGTTTACATGTGAAATGATGCCATTTGTTTGACAAGTTAAAAGTGGTCACATGTAGATGTAGATCTATGAAATGTCAGATACAACATGAAAGATCTGTCCAAATATGAGACCCAATGTCCAAAAACCACATGCACTTTTAATATAAATGTGGGATTTCACCTTTAATCTTTGTTAACTAGTGCACATAATGACTGCGTACTCATGTATCTGTGTTTAAACAGAAAGGGAACACCGCCCTACACATTGCAGCTCTGGCAGGGCAGGAGCAGGTGGTCACAGAGCTGGTTAACTACGGGGCCAATGTCAACGCTCAGTCTCAGGTGAGACTCAGTGCTGTGCTGAACACAGGACACACAGTGTGAACTTTACTGTGAAACCACTGTAGTAACTATTGCAGTTCCATCTGTTAACATGTGTCTTTGTTCCTATATTTCTGTGTGTTGGTGTTTACTTTCTGTGTACATCCTTGTGTGTGCATCTTTGACTGTCTTTCTACCTTTCTGGTGCTGTGGTTGTGTCTCCTCTGCTACTGCTGTGTGTGTGTGTGTGTGTGTGTGTCTGTCTGTCTGTCTGTCTGTCTGTCGTGCGTCTTTCTGAGACAGAAAGGTTTCACTCCACTCTACATGGCTGCACAAGAAAACCATCTAGAGGTTGTGAAGTTTCTCCTGGAGAACGGAGCCAATCAGAGCATTCCAACTGAGGTACTGAAGAACTGAGAGAAGTTTTCAAAGACAAATCTCCCAAATTCCTCAATCCCCATCCAGACTCGCTGTGTTTCCATTCTGTTTTGTTCTCATAAGCTGTCTCTCCTCACATCTCTCTCATTTTCTCTCCATGAGTCAACCTGACTTCTAACTCTCTGCCTGTGTGCTGCAGGATGGATTCACTCCTCTCGCCGTGGCCCTCCAGCAGGGACATGAGAATGTCGTAGCCCTGCTCATCAACTACGGCACCAAGGGAAAGGTCCGCCTCCCTGCGCTGCACATTGCAGCACGAAACGACGACACACGCACAGCTGCAGTGCTTCTGCAGAATGACCCCAATCCTGATGTACTCAGCAAGGTATATATGTGTGTTTGGTATGACTTTAGATATGATTGGACAGATGTGCATCACATGTAAAGTAGGTGTGTTTGGTGTCCTTTTTTTCTAAAAAGCACATTTAATGAGAGTGACATGTTCTCCCCCCTGATGTGTCCCTGCAGACTGGATTCACACCCCTCCACATTGCTGCACACTATGAAAACTTGAACGTAGCTCAACTGCTGCTCAATAGAGGAGCCAATGTCAACTTCACCCCAAAGGTAGGGAATAACCAACAAAGTTGGAAGGTTAATCTCCATCTTTGCTCCATCTTTCTTTTTGTTTTGCGCCTGTCTAAGTGCTTCTGTTTCTCTCTGCAGAATGGTATCACACCTCTGCACATTGCATCCAGGCGGGGGAATGTGATCATGGTCCGGCTCCTGCTTGACAGAGGGGCTCAGATTGATGCCAAGACCAAGGTGCAGCAGGATCACAAAACCTTTGATTCTCTTACAGTCTGTTTCTAATTTGATGCACCATTAACTAAATCAGTAACAATCCTCTCTCTCCAGGATGAGCTGACTCCTCTGCACTGTGCTGCCAGAAATGGTCATGTGAGGATTATAGAGATCCTACTGGACCATGGAGCCCCCATCCAGGCAAAGACCAAGGTAATCCACCTAGTTACAAGTAAAGGAAATGTTTCACTTCTCTTAGAAAACGAACTGAACACTGTTTGGTTTGGTAATGAGTGCTAATCAGTGAGTTGTTTTAAGTAAATTAATGTGAAATCAGCCAAACACAACCATAGATTCCTCTCGCTGCTGCTTCTTGCTCCAATTGTTTGTTATCACTACAAGACAAGTTGGTTCCTGTTTTGCAAGGGATAAGAGAGTCAACACATATTCCTTTCTTTTTTTTTTCACAGAATGGCCTATCTCCAATCCACATGGCAGCACAGGGGGACCACATGGACTGCATCAAGCAGCTTCTGCAGTACAACGCAGAGATTGATGACATCACGTTGGACCACCTTACCCCTCTCCATGTGGCGGCACACTGCGGCCACCACCGCATGGCCAAAGTACTGCTGGACAAAGGGGCCAAACCTAACTCTCGGGCACTGGTCAGTGACAAACACAAATTTATCATTTCAGACAAGGCATTTTTGCACTGATGATTATCATTCCTTTGTCTTTTTACAGAATGGCTTTACTCCTTTGCACATTGCTTGTAAAAAGAACCACATGCGTGTGATGGATCTCCTGCTTAAACACTCTGCATCACTAGAGGCTGTGACTGAGGTGAGGGTACTGGAAATGCAATAACTCATCTTTATATTAAATATTATTGGCATGCATTTTCAATATTCTTCTCCTCTTCTGAACAGTCAGGGCTGACCCCCTTGCATGTGGCGTCATTTATGGGTCATCTCAACATTGTGAAGATCCTTCTGCAGAAAGGAGCTTCCCCCAGTGCCTCCAACGTGGTGAGTTTCCTTCTGAAATCTCAAGAACAACTGAAAGAACAAACTCATCTCTGCACTGGTGATGTTATTGTTTTAATACTGATAAGTTTAAGTGTGTGGTTTGGGCCTCTGTGTGTGAGTAGAAAGTGGAGACTCCCCTCCATATGGCGTCTCGGGCAGGGCACTATGAGGTGGCAGAGTTTTTACTGCAGAACGCAGCACCGGTGGACGCCAAGGCCAAGGTAGAGATTTCCCACACTTAGGACATTTCAAATATCTATTTTCTCATGCTTAGCCATACCTCATATTAGAATACTCTGAATGTGTCATTATTTATGTGATACAAGGATTAATTTAGACACTTGGGTCAGCAGGTAATTCCTGGCAGTTAAAGCAAACAGAGCTTTGTACCCACATGCTAATTTCCCTTCTTCACGTCACAGCCTCATTTTACTGTTAATGTACAAATGGACATCATAGTGGAGAAGCTGAAGAATCAAAACAGGATGATTAACTCAACAGAGAAGACATTTTACTGATGGAGTTTCACACAGTACCTTACATTTCCTAATTACTCTCCCCTCCCGGGCTAGGATGACCAAACGCCTCTGCATTGTGCTGCGCGGATGGGCCACAAGGAGCTAGTAAAGCTACTGCTGGAGCACAAAGCCAACCCCAACTCCACCACCACAGCAGGCCACACACCCCTACACATCGCTGCCCGGGAAGGACATGTACAAACTGTACGCATCCTACTGGACATGGAAGCTCAGCAGACCAAGATGACCAAGGTAAATCCTGCGTGCTTATCCTTCACTGCATTCTGCTGTAATGTTTTAGATGTCTTTAAACTGTCCCACATAGCTGTGTTCCCCAACCTAATATTGTGCCCACTTCCTCATTGGTGCCTCTATAGAAAGGCTTCACTCCGCTCCATGTGGCCTCTAAGTATGGCAAGGTGGATGTAGCAGAGCTGTTGTTGGAGAGAGGAGCCAACCCTAATGCTGCTGGGAAGGTAAGATAAACATAAATGGTCTGATTGTATGGATATAAAGAGCAAAAGATGAATAAACAGATGGTCTGATAAACTTTTGATTCTGTTTTTGCAGAATGGTCTGACTCCGCTGCATGTTGCTGTACATCACAACAATCTGGATGTTGTTAACTTGCTTGTCAGCAAGGGAGGGTCGCCACATAGTGCAGCCAGGGTAAAAAAAATAAATACATACAGCCAGGTATCATGCTTTTACACATTTTTTCTAACCACAACTCATGTCTATGTGTTCCAGAATGGCTACACTGCCCTCCACATAGCATCCAAGCAGAACCAGGTGGAGGTGGCTAACAGCCTGCTGCAGCACGGAGCTTCAGCCAATGCTGAGTCACTGCAGGGAGTCACACCTCTCCACCTGGCCTCGCAGGAAGGAAGGCCCGACATGGTTTCCCTGCTCATATCCAAACAGGCCAACGTCAATCTTGGAAACAAGGCAAGAAACTCATAGATGATTAAATTTTGACTGTCATGAGGCAGGAAGTTTTTTTGCTGTCCATTTAAACTAAAAAATATCTGTGACATGGGGTTTATTTGTTCTGTGTTTGATGTAGTTGACCTTTGTCTTCTAAATCTGATTCCTCAGAGTGGATTAACCCCACTGCATCTGGTGGCACAGGAAGGACATGTTGGCATTGCAGATATCTTGGTGAAGCAAGGGGCTTCAGTCTATGCTGCCACGCGGGTAAGACCTTTTCAGACTCATGAAACCTTTAGTCGGAAAAAAAGACTTGTAGCGAGCTTCATCTTGAACTGTTGCAGGGTTATCAAAGCCTTATCAGTGTAGAGACTACTTTTGCCACAGCAGATAGTGTCTTAAGTGCGGTAGCATAAATAGCCTGATGATCTCATAGCAGAGGATTATGTTACCATCAATACATGGCCGACCCTTGAGGGATTCACATCCCATAGACCTCTTGTGCTTAGGGCAGCTCTACAGCAGCGTTTCGACATGATAATAGTTAGTAAGGTTTAATTTATGTGTAGAATTATAAAGCCTCAAAAATGACCATGTAGTTTAATTAACACCTCTTTGACACAGTCTTGACAAGATTAGAGCATTTTAGGCTTCACGTAGGTGGTTGCAGGTGTTGTGGGGCTTTATTAGTAGAATTTATTATAATGTCATGGTGTTATTATTGGTATTATTGTTATTTCTGTGTTCTTATCTCGTACACAACAAATAATTGCATCCTCTCTTTTTATCCCTAAATTGCAGCCTAAATGCAGTTTTGATCACTGGCCTGTACTCAGAACAATTTGAATGTGTGTATATGAATCATTGGTTTATGAATTATTCATGAACCACATAATGTATTCAGATTAAAAGGTCATTAAGACACTAAAGTTACGTGACTGGCTGTGATTTTGAGTTTAAGACTTTTTACTTTTTTTCCTCTCACTGTCAGATGGGTTACACCCCTCTCCATGTGGCGTGTCACTATGGGAACATCAAGATGGTGAAGTTCCTCATCCAGCAACAGGCCAACGTCAACAGCAAAACAAGGGTGAGTGCCTCCCTCTGGTTTTAAATAAAACTACAACGGGGAATGAGTCACGCAGCTACCCTGTGTCTACTGTCTCTGTCTCATTCATCAGGAAATGCAATTACAGCACATTACACAGTTAGAAGCACAAGTCGTGGCTGTAGCAGGTTCTCCTAAATGAAAGCTGTTAACACTGGCCTTTTTGTATAATGGGGAATGAGTGCATTTGCTTCTCTAAAGTGTAATGTGGTGTACAAGCATTGGAGAGACTGGAAGTGTTTAATTTTCAAGTCTGAGATGCAGGGTTTGGTGCTTGTTTATTTATACTGATAACATGAAATATGCACAAATGTGAAATACAGTTGTTGACTGAGCAAGGTTGGATTTAACACTATAACTCATGACTTCCTTTCTGAGTTACCAGTGTTTTTCTTGATTACTTAATTTAGTCTGTAAAAATGTCAGGCAATAGTAAAAATATCCGTCACATGTTCACATGCTTGTTTTATCTGACTAAGAGTCCAAAACCCAAAGATATTCAGTTTATCATCATAGAAGACCAGCAAATATACTGTAACCAGTGGATTTGGGGCTTTAAAAAATTACTTAAACAATTAACCAATTATTTGAATTATTGCTGATTAATGTGTTGCTGATCAACTAATCTCAGCTCCAGTCAGATAATAATTGTCCATTGCATTAAAAATTTTCTTGAAATGCACTTGACTTGATGTGATGTGCTTCTGCTAGGGGTGTGATATAATGGAACACTGCTTATGTGCATTTTAAGGAAATAAATTGATGTTTGTAAAAACTTGTTATCATCAGCTAATTTAAACATTAAATGAGTAAAAATATATTTAATTTTAATATATTTTAATTTCTCTCTCCTCCAGCTTGGTTACACTCCTCTGCACCAGGCGGCTCAGCAGGGACACACTGACATTGTGACACTGTTGCTGAAGCACGGCGCTCAGCCCAACGAGACAACAACAGTGAGCGTGAACACACCTTGTCTACCTCATATTGATTCATAACGTTTGTTTTGTTCAGAGATCTGATACAGTCTGCTCCTCTCTGTTAGAATGGTACTTCAGCCCTGGCGATTGCTAAGAGGTTGGGCTACATCTCTGTGATTGACGTCCTGAAGCTCGTCACTGAGGAGACTGTTTCCATGGTAAGAAGTTTAGAAACGCTACCATGCCCTCCGGATTAAGCACTGGCATCATGTGATGAACCTTTACACTCGCTGTTGTACAACATCTGTAATTGGTTCTTCCCTCTGTGCCCTGCAGACGACCACAGAGAAACATCGCATGAGTTTCCCAGAGACGGTGGATGAGATACTAGACGTGTCTGAGGATGAAGGTACAGCACTACAGTTACAATTATTATTCACATAAAACAGTAGGAATCTATGGTGATATTATCTAAATATTATTTCCTGTTTACGAGGCAGCATTTAAAATGTTTGAGCTGGTCGCGTCAATATTCATTTTTTGCCTTTTGCCCTTTTTTAGGAATTGCACAGCTAACATTAGGTATGAATGTCTCTTTCTTTCTTTGTGCGGCATTCATAGGTCGTTGTAATAAAGTGTGTGGCTCCATTTCAAGCTCACCCTCTCCATTTTTATCGCCCTGCCTCTCTCTCTCTCTTGTTTCCTCTGTAGTGGTGCTCACTGTGATGGTGGCTCTGGTTTCTCATTGGCATGCACCCATAGCACCCATGTCTGTAACCTTTATATGTCCCCTCAATAACACCCTCATTCTCTAACTCTCCAGGTGTCTTTTTTTCCTCCATGACAGCAGTCCTTGTTTTTACAGTCATCACACATAGATCACCCATGATTACTAATATCAAATCAAATTTAATAAATCTTTGGTAATAAAAAACATTTTAAACCTTCTCTTTGAGCTTTAGCAGTTTATAGTGAGTCTCAAGTGATTTGAGTCTTGTGTCCACAGTCTGCTCTGTGGTGTCGATCATGTACCACATAATTTTTAGCTGTCTTGTGTTCCTGACATGTGAGCTGTGTTTGTTGGCTGGCAGGTTATTGGGTCGGGAGGTGGAGGGGAATGGTAGTTTTAAAAAAATGCTGAGCGTGGCTATAATCAACATTTTTGTATTAGTACTGGATCGTGTGACTACTTGTAGCTGAAAGGAGTTGCTCGTAGAGATGATCCCACAGAGAGTTATATCTACAGTTGCCTTCTGCTCTATGGAGGATTATAGCAACTTTCAGCTAATAGTTTTGGTTTTGTACTTTATGGGCTCACTCTAACCAAAAATCTCTAAAATCCCACTGCACGCTAACTTCACAACCCAAACGCAGTTGGTGAACATAGTGTAGCATTTAGCAGCTAAAGAGTCAGATTTCCCACAGGAGTTAGTGCTGAGCAAAAACAGAGCTAAAATGAGAGTGAATGTTTGGCTTACATTCATGAGGTGGACAGAAACACAACACCAAATAAATGCTGGTGTTGCTCTGTATTTGCTGCATAAGCAACTGTTTGCTAACAAGTTCCATATCATTTTAAAAGTGATATGTCAGCTCATAGTTCCAGCTTGTTTCTGCTGCCCCCAAGTGGCCAAAAGATCACCTATTGAAGGTTTAACATTTAATGCCTGGGCCCAGTTGTTCAAAAGTAATCTGTTCGGATTTCGGCTATAAGATTGGATCAAATCTTGAAAATGGGTTGTTCAAAAAAAAGGAAAGGAAGGATTCTGAAATTGGATCAGATTACCTTATCCAGTCCTGGCTTTTATCTGGATCTTTTATCTTAGTACAATTGGGATCCCTTTGATCCCAATATCAGGATTATCCTGATCCCAACAGAAGGCTGGATTCAGGGTGAATTTTAGGAAGAAAATATCCTAAAACTTTTAACTTCATAAAGATTTTACAGATAATACAACATTTTTATCATGTAGGAACCGATATACACATTTATTTATATTCTGCACTTGATTTATTTAAACTTTACAGTTAAAGTAGACATTACCTATAAGCCATTCAGTACAGTAAAGTTAAAAAAATAATCTCCCGAACAGCTATCAAACCAAAATAATGTATTTAATTTCAACTGTCACTTATTACTGTACATTAATTACAAAGGCACAAACATCAGAGGTGAACCATTAAAAGTAGTTTGTAACAATAGCATTCCTTATTGTACGTCCAGTCAGTCCCTCATTCTGAGATCGCCTCCTATAAACTATAAGCTGCTCTCTGAACTCTGAATGATCTTTATTTTAACTATTGGACTATTGGACATCACATGCTCAAAATATCCACAGTGTATCTGTTAATAATGGTTATTTGTGTGTTTTTCTTGGATTTGTTGTGGGTCAGACGGGGGGTCAAACTGTTTAAAGAAATTTAAAATAGAAGGAAATGTATGTGTTGTTTTATTGTGCATTTTCTGTCTTTTCAAATTAAAGTGACCCCATGCTGCCTGTTCTGCCTTTTGGTCTTTATATCATTAACAGCCTACGTTGCGATTTGTAGTCCCATTTAGAGCACTGGAAATCCCGATTTGGTAGTCCTGAAAAGTTTGTTTCTGGATCAGGGTGATCCAATCCAATGTTGCTTTGAAAAACCGGCACAAAGTAAGATGGATTACTTGATCCTGGATAGCAAAACATGGGATTTCCAAATCTGGATCATTCTGATCCAGAATCCAGAATCAGGATCATTCTGATCCAGAATAAACTTTTTGAACAACTGGGCCCTGGAGTTTACAACACCACTGACAATGATGTCAGAGGACATTATGTCTTGATATATTTAGTCCCCTGATAATTTAACTGACAGATTGTCACATTTGCTCTAAATATAGAAAGTAGCAGAGTCGCCGTCTTAAAGACACATCTCATATCCGGAATGGTAAATTGATATTAGCAGGTTATCTAATGCACACGCACACATGTCGTGACGTTTTGCCTACACGACGTGGCACATAATCATGGTACATAAGACAGAGAATATCCAGGACATGAGCTTCCTCATGTGAACCTGTGGGAAGTGCACTCACAGTCACTCATACTCGTGTAATGACACCTACGACTTCATTTTGGCTCTGGACTGCACAGACTCCCACTCAAACACTCGCACAAGCTGTGCTGTCTCAAATAAATACACATGGAGAACACAAATTTTTGTTGCTGTTGAATTCTCGAAACTGACAGCATGTTTTTGAGGGGTAAGTAGCCAAAACCCACCTCTGTTCACATGTAGATACAATGTATGTTCAAAGGAGAGTAGAACAGAACAGCTTGTACTTCAGTTATCATTTTTTGTAGCGGGCTGATGCTGTTCTGATTGTCTCTGTGTTTGTATCCATGTGTTTTAGAGTGAATCTTCGGAAACATAGTCCTCTGAAGCAGTTGATTTCTAAAACGTCCAGTTTAATAACTGTCACTAGACAACACATTTTTTGGAATGAGATTATGCTGATGCATGCTCTCCCCGGCACTGTGTACAACTAAGATTTTATGAGGGTTTGAAAACTCCAGTTACTACTGTAAAGAGTCCTCTCATGTTTTGATGACGTGATGTTTCAGGGTCATCAAAAGTGTTGGACTCATCAGCCTGAGACTACAGTGATTACAGTGACCTGCTGTATTGTAACCTGTTTTCTAAGTGTTTGACTATCATTGACTAGCAGTAAGAATATCACTGTACTGATGTATCATCTCACCAGTCTAACCCCTAAACCACAGAGCCATCTCCTAAATCCTGGGTTATCATGTTGTCCCACCCCTCTGGTTAACACCCTTGTTTTTTTCTTTCTCTCTTTCTCTTGTGCTGTTTCACCAACCTGACCTCGGTCTGTTCCGCTCTCTTTGGCATGTTGTTCTCTGAAGGAGAGGAGCTCTTGGGGACAGAAGGGGCCAGGTACATGAGGATGGATGACATGAAAGACCATGATGACGATTTCCTCTCCCCCAAGAAATCACTGGAGTACGAGAGAGGGCTGGGCACAGCGTAAGGGGGACTGGGTGGGGAAGCAGGGGAGAGAGCCAAGCTGGTAGCCACAAGCTAATAGGTGGATGGATAGAGAGGGGATGCACCATAGACACTCACTAAACACCAGGGATGAGCACTTGGGAGGAGATGTAAAGAAACTTTTTCAATCTAACTTGTGTTTTTCTCTTTTAATACAACAGCAATTACTCGCCAGCCATTCCCAGGATACCCCGAGTCTCTCCAGAGACTGTTATTCTGCGAGAACACGAGATAGATCAGGTACAGTACAGAGCAGCACGAGTAAGATACTGCAGGGGTGCTCCAGCAATGTTGTATTGCACTTCCATAAAGATGGGGGACTTGCAAGAGGCAGATGGTCAAATGATGCACCAGAAGCCGAGATAATCTGAATTTAGGTCCCTAGTATGGGTCAAACATTGGATCCCTCATATACCTAAATGTAACTTAGTAGTGTCTTTCATCAGACCTTCATTAACTTGTATATACCAACGTGGTTCAAACTTGACATCCCTAGTTTGCAATACGTGGTCGCTGTTATAAATTTGTAGTCTCCAAGTTGATATCACTCAAGTGAGTCACTTGAGAAATTTGGTGAAGTGGCCCTTTTACTCAAGGTCCACTTACTAGTTGTTTTTCAAAGTTTATCGATGATCTCACAGTCTTCATCAACATAACAGTTGTCAGTTGACTACCACTGAGCAACCTCTATCTGCTGATGAAGACTGTGAGATATGGTTGAATGAACTTCCACACTCAAGTCATTTGATTTTTCTGATGTTTTTATCTAAGCACATAATTTGGATTAAAACTTTAAAATAGTGTTAATTTGAATGCATGATTCAGTTATTTTAGCTTCACCGTTTTTGATACATGACTTTGGGTATGAGAATCCCTCCTCAGCTGTCTGTTGAAGGTTAACGATGTATCTTCTCCATATCCTCTGTAAAAATAGCACATTAAAAATGAGCATACATAGGCATAGTCTTTCATCATAGCCCTCTCCATATCCTCTCCATTAAACAGATGATAGTGTAAGTAATACACTTTTGGGTTCATATAAAACATTATGCTAAACAGTGTTCTTTTGTGAATGTCATGAACAGCTTGTCTTTCTGTCTGTTGTAGCAACACACTCCACTTCCACTGCCCAAAGAATATGACGAGGACTCGCTGATTCCCAGCAGCCCGGCGACTGAGACGTCTGACAATGTCAGCCCGGTCGCCAGTCCCATTCACACAGGGTCAGCACAGCAATAACGCAGAAGAAAACATTTCATTACACTTCGTCTCTATTTAATATGTGACCTGGCAGCTAAACTGTCACAATCTTTGTGCAATAACAGGTTCCTGGTCAGTTTTATGGTAGATGCTCGGGGCGGCTCAATGCGAGGCAGCAGGCATAACGGTCTGCGTGTCATCATACCTCCGCGGACCTGTGCGGCACCCACCCGCATCACCTGCCGCCTGGTGAAGCCGCAGAAGCTGACCAGCCCCCCTCCGCTGGTGGAGGGAGAGGGGCTGGCCAGCAGGATCATCTCCCTGGGTCCAGCCAGCATGCAGTTCCTGGGGTGAGGAAGCAACTGAAATATATATTTTTGCTTCCGGTTATTACATTTGACTTGTTAAATGATGAAGTTATAATACACAGTGATTGTTTTGATAATCTACAAAACGTTGTTTGAAATTAAGCTGTATTGTGACACTGTAAAAATTTTCTAGTGTTTCTTACCATTATAAGTTCACTAGTAGTAGAATATCCCACCTGCCCATTGATATAAAACAATATCTCTAGTAAATAATTTACATTTCTACATGTGTAATTCTGTGTGTGTTGTGTGGCAGACCAGTGATAGTGGAGATCCCCCACTTTGCCGCTCTGGGTCGCGGTGACCGGGAGCTTGTGGTGCTTAGGAGCGAGAACGGCTCAGTGTGGAAAGAACATCGCAATCGCTACGGTGATGAGGTGCTAGAAACAATCCTCAACGGGATGGATGAGGGTAAGAGCTTAAATGCGTCATGCTCGATCTCAGGCTGACACTTGTCACTGGGGTGGTATCACTTTATTTAACCTTCTCTCATCTCCCCAGACTTGGAAAGTCAAGAGGAGCTTGGGAAGAAGAGAATCCGTCGCATCATCTCCACCGACTTCCCGCTTTACTTTGCTGTGGTATCACGAGTCCAGCAAGAGAGCGACCTGATTGGACCAGAGGGAGGTTCGCTGACAAGTAAACTGGTGCCACTGGTCCAGGCCACGTTTCCTGAGACGGCAGTCACCAAAAGAGTCCGCCTGGGGCTGCAGGTGAGATGGGACGATGAGGAAAAGGAAGGAGAAGGAAGACAGAATCGTTAATGCCTGTGCATGTTGAATGTACTTTGATTGATCGTGGAATGACCTGATCACATCAGCTCTTGTGCCAAGTTTTCCTGATTTAGTTTTTTGTTGTTTTGTTTATTTTGCTTTTTACATTTTTAGAGGAGCTTTTTGCTTTTTATTTCACACAGTGCATGCACACGGCACCTTTATCCAACTGTGGACTGCTCAAGTAGTGCTGATAATGTTTGTGTTTATCTTCAATGATGTCTTTCTCGTTTTTGTATTTATGTCACTGACTGTATTTAGGATGTTTAACAGAGTACAGTTAGTCAACATTACTTGATGCGAGATCTTCTGCATTCTTGCTGTAGCCAGGAAAGACCTTGTTTGAGTTTATAACTTATTGTCCAGTGGTTTTGGTGTCATGAATGTCATGAAAGGCCTTTTTTTTGGAAGAACTGAAATGTTTTCAAACCTTTAAATCTTAGTTATATCACTGTTTGTTGAAGCTTTTAATCCCCTTTTGTGTGTACAGCTGCACTATTCAGGTCAAGTTTTCTCAAACATACACACCAAAGACAAGAGAAATTATTTTTAGCACGCTTCACCTCGCTCAATTAGACAGTAAGTAATTGTTATAAAGAGGACTTATCTATAATGATTCTAGGACATTTTGCAACAGTTTCCGTTTCCTCCCCGTCCTGTCAAATTAAAGTTTTTACTCAAGCATCCACTTAAGAGACATTTGGGGTGGGATTTTTTAAGATGGTTAAATAGCAGATTATAACCTCTAAAGGCAACCATCCAGTTAATTCTCACATTTTCTTAATTCATAATTCTTGGCAGTGGATATGTTTGTTATATAAATATTCAGGATTTTCTCCAATTTGATGACTTGAGATTTCAAGGTTCCTTTTGCATGTGATTTCATTTTGACAGGTTAAATATACCCATTCTGTTTTAACAAACTCTAACATTTAATATAGTGTGAATTTTAATTATCCAGTAGATATCATTCCAATGTCAGAATATGTTTCAGCAAACCAAAATGAAAGTTAGATACAGTATGAATGGACCTTCGACTGTGTGTTTTAGTTCAACTACTGTCCTGTAGACGCATGAGTTAATTTTAATAAGCTAAATATATCTTGTAAACTAACATGTTACCACACATGCTGTAACCTCTTAGCTGAAAATAGTGAATGTAACTGTAAGTAAACAGTTTCAGTGTTTTCTTATATTCTTTTTATCTTAACAATTTCATAATTGTAAGAGCATATCTAGTTAATAAAAATGTTGCTGTAGTAATCATGTCCTGAACGGCCTTGTGAAGAACCACAGTGCCTTTTTCTTTGATACATTTTGTATTAATGCTTGTAAAAGCTCCATGTTAACACACATTGTTACATTTTACAATAAAAAAGAGTTATTAAGTCCCGTAACCAGTTTGTTGCTGTTGTCTTTCCAAATTAGGTATGTTTATTCACTGTGGACTTCTTTCTCTCTTTCTCTTCATCTTTAATGTGTCCCTATTCGGTTGTCCTCTTTTACCTTGTATTTCCTCATCCATCATCTACCTCCAATCATCTCATTCTACTTGCTATCTTGTTATCCCAACATCTTTTTTTTTTATTCTTTGTCTAATTTCCCTCTTGTCTGCCATATCATCAAACCTGTGCCTGTGTTACGTACCCCCTCATTATCCCCATCGTTTACTTTCAACCTCAGGCTCAGCCAGTTCCAGATGAACTGGTTGCAAAGCTGCTGGGTAACCAGGCAAACTTTAGCCCTGTGGTCACTGTGGAGCCTCGGCGGCGCAAGTTTCACCGACCCATTGGCCTGCGTATACCTCTGCCCCCGTCCTGGAAGGAGAGCCCCCGAGACTCTGGGGAGGGCGACACCACCAGTCTGCGTCTGCTTTGCTCCGTCATAGGTACTGCATGCCACGCCTGAGAGTTGTGTGGGTGGGTGAGTAAGTGTGTGTGCGTGTGTTTGTGTCGACTGGAGCGGTCTCCTTCCATGGCAAGGAGAGATGTGGCAAAACTGCTGATATGCTGTGGTGAAAGATGTCGGTACTATTGCTGGATAAAAAGGTTTTTGTTCTTATTTTGTACAAACACGGTCACCATGAGACTTCTTATTTATGACCTCTGCTAAAGCTAGATTAACCGGTTTGCCCTCTCTTATCCTGTCTGATTCCCAGGTGGCACAGCCCCAGCCCAATGGGAAGACATTACTGGCACCACCAAGCTTATGTATGCTAATGATTGTGCAAGTTTCACAACCAATGTTTCAGCACGGTAAGGTCACACGTGAAATATGTCAGCCATCATATTATAAAACTAAGTTTAATGTCTTTGCCATCTCAAATAAGCTTGACTGTGATCATAAAACACAAAGATTAGTGTGACAAACTGTGTCATTGTTTCTTCTCAGATTCTGGCTCGCAGACTGTCCTCGGACAGCTGAGGCTGTCTCCTTTGCCAACCTGCTCTACAGAGAGCTGTCAGCTGTACCCTACATGGCCAAGTTTGTGGTGTTTGCAAAGATGAATGAGCTGCGTGAGGGACGCCTGCGCTGCTACTGCATGACCGATGATAAGATGGATAAAACCCTGGAACAACATGAGAACTTCACAGAGGTGGCTCGTAGCAGAGACATAGAGGTCAGTTCAGAGACAAGGGCAGTACATCATACCGAAAACTGTAGTTTTGTTTATTTCCACATTAAGTATTCAAAACCACATACCTTACACTTGATACTTGAACAATAAGGAACAGAGGCCCTGCTTGGGCCTTTCTTTCAGCTTTAGCTAATGCCTGTGTCACATCTTGCAGGTGATGGAGGGAATGCCGCTTCACCTGGAGTGTTCAGGGAATCTTGTGCCAGTGAGGAAGGCCACCCAGCAACCTCGCTGCTTCAGCTTCCAGGCCTTCAGAGATAACCGACTTCCTGTCTCTGTGAAGGTATCACCATTTGGCCTTCTCTTACAAGTCTTTCTTCAGCTTCACATTCTTTGTCTCTCGCTGTTGCTCCACCAGCTCTGTCTCCGCTCTGCATATGTATGTGTCTTCATTGCTTTCCTTGCGTCTGTGTGTCTTAGGTGAGAGACAGCAGTAAAGAGCCCACTGGATTTCTGTCTTTCCTGCGCAAGTCCACTAAGTATGAGGACAGCCAACATGTGCTCTGTAACCTCAACATTAGCATGCCTCCATGTATCAAGGTAAAGCTCCTGAAGTTAGCTTACATGAAGAAGACACATAACGTGCAATTACAGTAATTTTCCCTGAGATGACAGACTTCAGTGATTTTTGCTTGTGACTGGCAGGTTATTGGGAGTGAAGACCGGAGGCGAACTCTGACCCCGCTGGCTTTGAGAGAAAGATACAGTGCACTAAATGAACCTGCTATGGGTATGAGGCTCTCACTCTCCCAAATGTTAAAACAATATAAGGCACGGTGTGATGGCGTTTCTGTTTTTTTGCAAAAGTTGCATTTTTTTTTTTTTTTTTTTTCAACTTACTGCTTCATCTACTGCCTTCTTCCACATACAGAATCAATGAGCGTTGCAATGCAGGCATAATCTCAACTTTACATTTGACAGAGGCAGATGTTAAATTGTCAGTTCTGACCTGTTTCGTGCAGCGTCAATGAGTGCCATGGAGAGGACAGAGCTGAAGATGGCTGTCATTGCAGAGCAGTTGGGATTGAGCTGGGCTGGTAAGTGAACAAGAATTTACCAAATCTGTTTTTATGTGCTGTAAACCTTTCATGTCTACCTTATGTCTAACAAGCTTGCCTAGCTCGCTTCTGATTAAACAAAGTTATTACATGGCAACCAGCCAATGAAACTAATTATTTTCTGTTTTCCTGCCAAGAGCTATAGCTGTTTGACAGACTATTCTGCCTCTTGTGGATAGAGCTACTGTGAAGCCGTGTGCCATTTCAAGAGCAAGACTATGTACACAAAACGGCATGACTCATAGGTGAAATGATACAAATATTTCCCTCACTTGCTTGATTTTCTCTGACTTATTTTCTACACAGAGTTGGCACGCGAGCTTCAGCTCAGTGTGGATGACATCAATAAGATCCGTGTGGAGAATCCCAACTCGCTGCTGGAGCAAAGCTCTGCACTGCTCAACCTGTGGGCCACCCGCGAAGGCAAGAGGGCCAAGAGTGAGTGTATGAGAATCTGAGATTGCTGTGAATTTCTCTCATCCCCTCTTGTCTTTATTTACACCCGTTTCTGCCTCTTTAACCCGGTCAAAGCCAGTTTGGTGTGTAATGGTGTTGCTGTTTGTCCTGGAAACCCCTCCCTTCCTTCTCTTTTCCCTTGTCTGCTTGTGTCTCTCCTTCATGCATCTTCACTGCAGTGGAGAGCCTGTACACAGCTCTGAAGAGTATTGATCGTATGGACATAGTCAACATGTTGGAGGGCCAGCCTCCTCAGACTGCGAGACAAGGGTCCCGTGACTTCAGCAGACGCCGAAACAACGAGAGGGAGCACCTTTCCCCTGGTTTGACCAATGGTAAGTTCGCCTTCCCAAATCCCACAATGCAGCCTTCCCCATGTCCATTTTGCCTTGACCCTGAGCCGTCTTTTCAATAAACATACCTCCCAGTTCTCTAAAAACCCCTGAAGGCAAAGTGAAGTTTGTGTCGTGTCTTTCTTATTTATTTATGCTTCTGTGTATAAAAGCTGCCACAAACATCAAACTTTTGCAGGACTTTACCCGAGCAACATGCAGAGGGACTCAGGACACTCCTACTGTACTACAACCTCTGTAGTGCCTTTGGTTATATAGTTCTCTATTTATTCATTCAATGTGATGGAAAGTAGAGTGAAGTATACAAAAAAGTATGATTGAATGCTGAATTTCTGGAGTTTGTAAGAATACCCCGACTGAATAGCCATCGCGCAAAACACTCCACATTGCGATAAGTAAAGTATCCTATTATAAATAGCTACAATTTTATTAATGTTTGTAATTGTTGTTATTTTGTGCTCCCATGTCAAAGTATTTATTTAGATCAGTCAGTATTTGATTATATTAAGAGTTTTTATTGCCCATTATTACTTTAGAGGGACTACATTTTAGTGTGATATTTTGAAATAAACCAGCACATTGTCATACATGATCAGCCCACATAGATCACACTGTAAGTATAGCCTAGCTTAACTAGACTCCTTACCAGTTGTCAGTCCCCAGACTTTTACTCCTTTTCCTCATGGTTTCCTTCACACATGCATAACCTACATCTTATTGACTCCATTTTCACCTCCGGACTGGTATGAGCTTCCCTTCTTACTGGACTGGTTTGTCTTCTCTGTATCCAGTGCACACGATGAGTCAGTCCCACAGGTGACAGGTCCTATTCTGTGAAAACTGGAGCAATACTCATAGATGTAACAATGCATAGAGATCCGACCATGAGGGTCAAAGGGTGAAAAGGGAGAGGTTCAGATCACAGCTGCAGTGAATCTGATAACCATGTATCTGTCTTGTCTGTCTATCTGTCTGGCTACCTGCCTCCCAAAGGCAGTTCCTGCTTTGATGTTCGGCGTGAAAAAAACGTGGTGGCGCTTTGGATACTTGGATATTGTGTCGTCCGCTAATCTCACAATGATCACAGTCACGGGTTTCAAGAGGATTATGATTTTTTGTCTGGACAGGCTAAAGGCACAATGACCAAGTGGTGGAATCGAATGAATAAATAAATCAGGCAGATAAAGAAAAAATAATAAATCTATAAATGTTTAAAGAAATTGAAATTAAACATCCTGCTACACCCCAAATATAAATATTGAGGTGTACAAAATTTATTTATTTTTCAATTGGTTTCACAGGTTAATTTATTCATTTCATATTAAAGGAGTAGTTTGACATTTTTGGAAATATGCTAGTTTGCTTTCTTGCCAAAAGTTAGATCAGAAGTTTGATACCACTCTCATGTCTTTATGGTAAATATGAAGCTACCGCAAGCAGCTGGTTAGCTTAGCTTAGCATAGCATAAAGACATAAGACAGGGGTAAACAGCTTGCCGGGCCTGTCCAGGCTCTTTTTGTCCAGGTGCAGTATCTTTGCTGGTTTTCTGGTAAAAAAAATTACTGTGCCTGGCCAAGAAATAGTTTTTACACTTTTGTGTTCATATTGGTTAAATAAAGCAGAAATATAAAGTGTTAAATAGATTGTTCAAGGTGCTGGTATAGTAGGTGGATTTTTTTAACCTTTGGACAGAGCCTGTTTCCAATTCTGATGCTAAACAAAGCTAACCAGCTGCTAGTGGTTGCTTCATATTTACCGTGTAAATGTGAGAGTGGCATCTTCTCATCTACCCCTCTGCAACCAAAGCAAATAAGCAAATTTCCCAAAATGTCAAACTGTTTAACCTTTAAGTGAGGGTCAGTCCTGCATATAAAATAAGTATATTTCTGTTTAATAATGAAATAGTGTTTACAGAAAAAGCTGAAAGAATATTCGTTGGACGTATCATTTATACTGCGGCCTTTATTCTATCTTTCTCTATCTGTCTTTCCCTCTTTTTCTCAAAACAGTGTCTGTAGGATTTTAAATAACAGTTTTTCTTCTTAGTTCTAGTGCACCGGTAAGGCTTATTCAAGATTCCTGCTTAGAAGATAACCAAAAATAAACTAGATCATGATAGAGTAAGACCTCTCCGTTCAGACTTTTTTAAGACATTTAAATTCTCTCTGCCTGTGGATGCATGGGGAGTAGTTTTTAGGGCTAATTTTGGTGCACTGAATGTCCTTTTGGGAGCCCTATTTTCATTCCCTGTGAATCTGTCCCTCTCTCTGTGTTTCTCCGGACATGTCATCTGCAGCCTAGCCGTCCTACTCTTCCTCCTTCTCACTCCTCTCCGAACTCTGACCTCATGCCGACCTCATGTTGACCTCTGACCCACATCTTTATCTTCTTCTTTTTCTTTTTTGCGACTAGTCGTGCATTTTTCTTTATTTTTGTGCTCTTGAAAACCCCACCTTTTTAAGTGTCCGCTCTGTGACCGAAACCCCTCACGCAAACTGTGTACTCAGCACCCACTGGGAGGGGGGAGGTGACCCTCGCTCTCTCTCGCTGTTTCTGTCTGTGATCATCATCCTATTTTATATTCCTCCTTCTCTCTTGCGGCCTTTCCTTTCTCTTTTTCCCACTCTGTTCTTTGCCTCCTTTCCCATCCCTTCTTTCCCTGCTCTCCTGCATGTGCATGTGGCTGACTTTCATCGCTCATCTCCCACTGTGTTTGCATGGAGACACTGGGAAGAGGGGCAGAAGTAAACCTGGCTTGGAGATGAGTCAAACGCTGCATTTGCACCTAATGCTGCCTGACCAACAGACATATATCTTTGCATGGCATGCATACTGAGAATGACTCTACAGTCTGTCTCTGTTCCTCCTCAGTGATCTGTCCCACGGGGGGTAAAAAAGGCCACAAACCTTTTTTTGTGAACTTTGTTGTTTGCTCCGTTCATGTATGAATGTTGTGGTTGTTTTGTATGTCACTGATTCTATGTGTAAACTGTGAAATATATGTTTTGATGTCTTTGTGAGTGTTGTACGAGGGTCAATTTGATATTGTTCCTCTCCTAATTGTAAATGTGCTTATTGTTTAATGTGAACTCATCAATCAGTCTGTGTGAGTGTATCAGTGTGAGCGTCTTTATGTGTGTTTTAAGCCTACTGTAAGTGTTTTTGTCTTCCATATACATGTGTGGCCAGTGTATGAGCAAAGTGAGTATATTCCCTTTACGTGAGCTTCACTGCTTTGTTTTGTTTTTTTTATTTATGTCTTTCAATCTGGGGGGTCAGGCAATCCCAGCCACATTTTTCATATTTCACACTCCCTTATTTTCCAGATCTTTCTTTCACCAACATTGCCTCGTCAACTAACATGGAAAGAGAGGACTGACAAACTCATTCATTAAGTTAATGTCTCGTGCTATATTTTGTGGTGTCACCAAAAAACAGACTCTATATTACACTCTACATTATAATCATGGCTTCAGGTCCTGATATATCGTACATTTCACAAAAACATAGACTAACACCAAATCCATATTTCCAATACACACCACATTCCCAGGAGAAATGTGTTCAGGTATTTACTACTAGTCATTTCTTTCCAAATTAGACTTTGTCTTATTCGTCATATATTTAAACATAGGAATACAGTAGTTTAATCACTCAGCAGCTTCAGTTTCATTTAAATTAGTAGAATTAGTTGTAATTCAAATTAATTAAGTAAGTAAGTAATTAATCTATTACTGTTATATTACATAGATTTAAACTCCCAGTTCTAGTAGTACAATAAAATATATAAATCTCCAGAGTCAAAGTCAGTGCTATTTACAGCATTTTTTTGTCTTTTAACTTCATAAAATAAAGCACTTAACAAAGAAAATGTAGTATTGTATAACTAAGCAGTGTGTGTGTCTCACACACACACACACACACACATTTCTATAGACAACAGTCAGCAGTTGAGAGGCTGAGGGAGAAAACAGAAAGTAGGACAAGAGGTCTTTCTGGCTGCTTGGTGTCACAAATATCTCCTGCACTCTCAGCAGTACTCAACAGCAGTACTGCCAACCATGAATCAAGTTACACCCCACACTCAGCACTGTTTTCTCATCCCTGTACAGTATACACACACACAGTCGCTCTCTCTGCATGCACACACAAGGGGGAATCGCCTCATCTTGCTCTTATCTACATACTGTGTGCCCTGCGCTACATCTCCTATTTCATCCTCTGGTTAATGTACTCCCTGGTAACATGTCCTGGAGTGTTACAGTCACAGTACCACTCACACTTTGCTTTACCTACATTGCCATTCATCAAAACATTTTGTCCTGGGTAGTTGGTGATTTGTAGGATAATTCATTCAGTATGATCAGGTTAAAAGACGGATACAAGGCAGATTTTATGTATATCTGCAGACTCTTAACAGTCTTTAACCGGATCTTTCTTAGTTTTTTGTGCAATATGCTGTTTTTAAAACATTCCTGCTGCTGTGACATTGTGCTTTATCATGCCAGGTCTACCTTTCCAAAAAAGAAAATATATTGTTATGTCATGGGTGTTCAAGACAGTTGTAGGAGTGACCTGAGTCCACACCACATTAACAATGTGCAGTTTTGCTAATTGATATAATTGCACTTCAATTACTATATATAAGTATAAGTAAGTATAAATTATGTTTGAGGCAGCAACCATGTGACTTTCACAATAGAAAGAAAATCAAGTATACTGTATGTCTTTGCATATATCAGCAATACTATAGGTTATGTTTATTTAGCTGTGTTATATTGAATGCATATTAATAAATACATGTGTCAGTGAGAGAGTAAGCAGCTAAGTGGAGTTTGCTGGTGTGTGTGTGTGTGTGTGTCTGTCTGTGTGCGTGTGTGTGTGTGTGTGTGTGTGTGTGTGCGCATGTGTGTGTGTGTGTGTGTGTGTGTGTGAGGAGAGAATGAGATTGCCTGCGTGCATGCTATCCAGCCTGACAACAATATTAACCTGCCTGTTTTTCGAGTGGGTTTGAAAGCATGCATAACTGAGCGGTGAGCGTATGTGTGTGACCGTATGAGACAGAGAGTGAGAGAGTATGTTTATGGCATGTGTATGTGTGACAAAGTGTGTGTCCCTGCCGCACAGGTGTGTGTCCCAGCCCCAGGTTGGGGGCAGAGGCAGTAATTCCTGTCCGTCTCCCTGCAGGTAGCAGCCAGCAGAGCAGCACCAGTCACTGCTGGGTCCGAAACTCAGTGCCAGTGTCTCTCAGTCCATCTGGCTGTGTCTGTTGCTGCTGCCGCTGCTGCTCTCGCCGTCAGCGCTGGCTGATCGAGCTTGACAAACCCTCTTCTAAAAGCTGCCCTTGCTGTCTTGTCCTAAGCTCCTTGCACCTTTCTTTCAGCTCCTATTGTCTTGCCCCCCCCCCAACCCCACTCCTTTCCCCTTTGTCCCTTCAGCCTCCTCTACTCCTCCCCTAGATGCCCAGCTCCTGGGCAGGGGCACTTACCCCCTCCCGGGGTCCCGGTGCTGTGGGGGTGAGGTGGGGAGCGAGGCGGGGGGCCGGGTGTCAGTGTGCCTCTCTCTGTCTCGCTCCAGGTTATGGGCTCGCGCAGGAAGAGCTTCTCTCACCAGCCTCCATGCAGTACAGCCTGCCCTCTCCGCTGGGTGCTGAGCCTTACTGGCAGGAAGTCTCCAGCCTGGACTGTGCACCCATTGCTACAACAGAAGAAGACACCCTCATGGAGATGTCTGATGTGCAGGTGTGGCCCTCAGGGAACAGCCCCTCCCTGGTCCCTGTGGAGGACTCCTCGCTGGAGTGCAGCAATGCTGACGACTCAGAAGGTCTGCTGGGGCTGCCGTATGGAAGTCTGGGTCGGCCGGCTAGTCAGGCCAGCGCAGCCAGCGGAGGGGGTGGGGTGCTGAGTGGCTCCATTGAGCTACCCGAAGACGATTCAGAGATGGGCGTTGACTCGCTCAGCACTGCCACGCCAGCCTCGCTTGGGGGCACCATCGCCGGGATCAATCTTAATGGGCTGAACAATGGTCAGGGGTCAGAGGCAAGTTCGGAGGCATCAGCATTCGCCAGTATCACTGGTGGAGATGGAGCTGGAGGAGGAGGAAGAGGAGGAGAGATGGGCTCAGTGGAAGGGCTTTCTCTTGTTGCAGGACAGCAAAGGGTGTATGCTCGGCTGAGTGAGTCACCTGGTCTGAGCTGTGTTGCAGATCGGAATGGAGACAGGTAAGACCTCTGTCTGCCTCTCAGGTGACAAAGTCACAATCACACCAACAAAGCAATAGATCTGTGCTAACATTCTACTATTTATTGCATGCGAGTGGTGAACTGGAGTTTTTTGAACATTTCTTGCAGAGGACATGGTGCTAAGGGGTTATGATAAGTTGTTTTACTTTACTTGGAGTAAGCATGTTCAATATGTGTACCACCTCCATATTTGATCCATTGCTTCTTTCCAGGTCAGGTAATGGTGGAAATGGAGGTGGTGGAGGCTCTTTCCTTTCCTACCTGCAGGAACAGTCAGGCCCAGGGTGGATCCCTGTCACTGACCCTACACAGGCCTGGGTGGGCAGTCAGCCTAAACCCAGGCAGGCCATGGAAACCATGATGTCATCAGTATGTAACACCGTGGACGCAGACCAGACCCACATGTCTCAGGAGGCCTTGCTTCAGCCTGTGAGGGACATGGGGCATTCGGAGATCTTAAGGGGGCACTTCAGAGGTACCCAGCCGTTTGAGAAGGGTTTGGGCTTCCCACACAGGGTACCAGAGCTGAGGGCCTGGGATGACGTGCGCCTTAAGGGCCAGGTGAGCGTGTTGCTCCTCCAATGTAAAATAAGATATATGACAAGTAGTCAATTATACAGATATTGCCATCAGAGAAGTTACTACAATTCATCCTGAGGGGGGCATGAACGTGTATACCAAATTTTATACCACCCTATAAATGTCAAGCTCATGGTGGCTTTAGAGGAAAAGTCAGGTGATCACCAAGTAGGATTCATCCTCTGGTGGACCATGAATGTCACATGTACAAATCTTCATGGCAATCCATCAAATAGTTGTTTGGATATTTCCATCTGGACCAAAGTGGTGGAACGACCAGGAGACAGACATTGCCATCCCTAGATGTAGCAAGAAAAATACAGTGATTTCTGTAAATGGATTTTAACTATGATGTACCATAGATTCAACCAGCCTTTAGCAGGAAATCCTTTGACGTATAGCAAAACAGATCAGACAAGAAGAAGAAGTCTGGTGCATTTTGTCAGAAGTCCTAGATTCTAAAAAAACTACATAAAGTTCAGACTTAAAGTTTAAATGAGCTATAGATGATTCATGATAGATCCTAGAAACATAAAGCAAACAAACATTCATACACAAACACAAACACACACACACACACACACACAGTTTAGGGCCCAAGATGGGCACAAACAGCATGTCCAGCCAAATATAGCAAGCATTCTCACTGTCCAGCTCATGTTACCACCCAATCACTTCCACGTGTTAACTTCCTGGCACAACACCACCACATCACACTGTAAAGGACAATCTAAGCCGTGAAAGTGTGTGAGAGTAGAAATAACGTGTTGCTTTTATGGCCTTTGTGGTCTTGCTTTGGAATGTGGTTTATACTGGTGAAGAAAAAGCCCTTTAGCTTGGCTCAGTCTCACCTTGGCTTTTGTAGCATTTGGATGCAGCGTGTTGCAGTGCTACATAATTGTAGTGTGCTTTTGAGGAAACATGCCTATTAGGATGTGTGGATGAGGAATAGTTTGTAGTTTAAAGTAATGAGTACCTGAAGAAAATCAGAGGGGTTCTTAGTGCTCTTACCATAGCACACAGAGCCACACTGGACTAGCCAGTGGTATTTAAAGCCCACAGATCACATGGCCAGAAAGAGAGAGAGGTGCGAATAGAAGCATATAGAAGCCTCCCAAGGTTGCTTTTGCTTGGATTTGATGTCATTGAGTGGGTACATCTGACCTGACAGTGGGAAGGAGACGGAATAGAGACCTGAGGAAAGGGCCCGTTGCCCCAGCTAATCGAAGACTGATATGAACTGAATGACAAACAACCAAACTGCAACTGAACCAGTGACGGACAGCGGCAGGCTGCAGCTGTTACGTTTTCTCTCAGCTCAGAGAAGGGCTGCATGTGAAACTTAAGGCTGAGGGAGTGGATTGTCGTGTGTGTGGGCTGCGTTGATTTGCTGGGAATCAAAGTGGGGTGATGTGGGCCCTGGTGACAGAGCTCCTCTTCAGCTTTGTGCTGCTGGCTTTCCTGGTCATCAGCTGTCAGAATGTCCTCCACATAGCCAGCGGCTCTGTGCGGTCTGTGCTCAGCTACATACACGCTCAGCTGGACCGTGAGCTTGGTGAGGTCGAGGGAGTGGCCGATGAAGAGGAGAACGTCACCACCAGAGTGGTTCGCCGCAGAGTCATCCTCAAGGTACAGGGGGACAGGACTGTCGAGCAGAAATTTGGAGAGAGGATTTAAAGGCAGGAAAACAACAACCGCAGGAGAGAGAAAGAGAAAACACTGTTTTTTTAAAGGCTGAAGGATGCAGTGTATCTGATCAAATGCAGGTTAGGTTTGTGGTAATAAGGGTAAATGATTTGACAGGGTTTACTGCACTTGAGTGGAGTGGGTGTGACAAAAATGACTGTCAAGATTTACTAGTACACTGTGCACATAAGGAAATGTTGACTTTGTTGTATATGACAACAACAAAAACTAAATTGATTCAGTACAATAATGATCATTCGTCCTACAATAATTGGGTTATGTTAAATTACCATCAAATTACTGTGCGTAGGAAGCTAAATTTATCTTGTGCTGTTACAGATGTAAATAGATTGTCTTAGGCTCAACAAGTTTGGGCTCGAGTTCTATTAAAAAGCCGTAGGGCATTTTCTTCCTAATGTATCTCAGACTGTGTCAACTGTAACACAAATGTTGACAAGTTCTATTCAGGTCTCTACAGACTCGACAGGCAATTGTTCTCGCTTGTCCGGTGGTAGGAATTTCTTTGAGGCTATAAATAGCTGCATAGACACAATGCAAATTATTAGGGCCAATAACAGCATTGTCTTAAACTTCATGAACTGTAATTATAAGTGTTGCCTAGAGACATTTGTGAACAACATGGGTCCCAAATGTTGAATTTACATGCTCCTACACACAACCCTCCCATCCCTCACCCATCTGTTGATCTTCCTCTCTGTGTTTCCAATTAGTGGAGGGGTTTATGGAATTCAAATAATTACACTGCACTGACAGCTATCATAACATGCTTCAAGTCCATAATTTACTGGGTGCTACTTTTCTTTCCACCATCCTGAGTTTGCTTAACTTTTTAACTTTGGGAATTCATGTCTTGTAGCAGTTACACTTAAATGTAAGCCCAGCACTTTCAAGAGTAAGAAAGAGCAGTTTATGGTTTCTTCAAAAACATTGTTAAGGGTGCAAATGCTGCTCTGTCCACAGGGCGATGAAGTTGAAGACCTTCCTGGGGAGCAAGTAAGCGAGGAACAGTTCACGGATGAACATGGAAACATTGTCACAAAAAAGGTCAGCAACACGTTTTTATAATTTATTCGTAAACTGCGGTCCATTAATTGTTTCCCTTATGTCACTGTCACAGTACTCACTCAGCATCTCTCCACAGAACTAATAATCATTACAAAGCTCATCAGCATTCATCACATACAACATTACACTATATATATATATGTGTGTGTGTGTGTGTGTATATATATATGTATATATACTGTATGTCCCCAAAAAAATATCTATTTTTGTAAAAGATGATGACTTCACCATAACCATTTCTTTATATTTCACCAACGCTGTCTTTTCACTGCCTTATTCCCACTCTCTGCTCCCACCCATCACTCTCTCCCACCCTCCTGTGTGCGTTTGTGATAGATTGTGCGTAAGGTTGTGCGCAGAGGGAAGGGTTCAGGTGAGGAGGGGGTTCAGGAGGTGAGCGTGGAGGGCTCTCTGCAGGACGCCAACGAGCTGGAGGTTGATGCTGAGCAGTTCATGAGCTACGCCATCCTGGGCCGGGACAGCAGCAAGGTGGGCTTCTGATCTGCAGACAGCTCTCACCTGAGGCTCCCGTTATTAGCTAGGATGTGCAAGGAGCACTTTGTGTTCAAATGGACTGAATCAGATCAGATGATAACAGCTGAACACCATCTGTTGAGGTCTTGTTTGATTTTAATGCATGTAGTAGCTAGTTTATATTGAACAGGGGACTTGGTTCTGCAGTGAGCTTGAAAGTCTCATCTTACCTGGGTTTCCCATGTGCTCCCCAACAGTCCTGGAGTAGCTTAACTGCATGAGCTTTGGTGTTAAAGGCTAAGAACACAGTTTGTGTGTGTGGTGTCATAATCTTAAAAGCAATAGCCCTGTTTTATTAAATGTCGTTCAACTAGCGAAGATTGAGTGGTTGGTTGGTTGTTTGATTGCTGACCTTCAGTTACATTAATCTCCATCCAAACATTATTTCCTCATGTTCATCTCCTGCATGCAAGAGTACGTATGAGTCCACTTTGCTCTGGTGCTGTTATTGCTTTGGGTAAAGTGCTCACAGTTCATCATTTTAGTCATCACTGATTCGCACCTACACTTCCTATGTTTGTTTCTTGCACATTAATGACTGAACGAATTGATTGTGGCTTATTGCAGTGGCTATATTTTCCATTATGTCCCTGTCAGTTATCTCAATGACTGGCACTTCTGTCTTCTTTGCCTTCATTAAAGTTTATAGTCCTTCAACTGTGACTGTGTGCTGTATCACTCAAACCTGCAGGGCTCTGTGCATCAGAGCTGGGTCAAATATTATTTACAATCTTTTTTTTTTTTTTTTACTTTACCTGCAGGAAGTAGCAGAGGATTGGGGTTTTACACATCAAGACAATTCAGAATATTTATGTGTCCATAAACTTGTGTAAACTTTCTTGCACTTTGTGCATTGTCCTATGTGGTCAGACCCCATCCATCTTAAGAAATCAATTCAAAAGTATGTTTGCAAATATTATTTGACACAGGTCTACTCTGAATCCCAAAGACTGCAGATGTTTCTGATGCCCTTTTATCTTCAACTGTCTTTCCAACTGTCACCCATCACTTCTGTTCTTGCTTGACTGTTTATACATAAATTCTTTCTTTTCCCCCTCTTGCCTCTCCCTTCACTTATTTGTCTCTCACTTTTCTATTACATCTCATCTGTTGTTTTTCTGTCCTCTCTTTCCTTGTGGCACTATTTCCTTCCTGTGTTGTTCCATTTCTGTTTTCCTCCCTCAACTTTTTCTCACTCTCCCTTACTAACGTTCCCTCAACCTCTTGTTCTGCTCCTGTCATCCCACCTGTTCTTAATCCTTGCTCCTCGTCTGCCGCCAACCCCTTCCCCCCTGACGTAGCCCGATACTGTGGATATGAAGAAAGGTGCTCAAATAGTGAAATGTGCCAGTCTGCGGAGAGTTAAGCAGTGAGGCAGACTGAGTGCTGCGTCCCCGCAGGTATGGGACTGACCCACAGTGCCTCTTGTGACCTGTGGGCTAGACCATTTAATCCAGTCTGTCTGGATTAAATGCATCTGAATGTACCTTTAATTCAATACTAATGATATGTAATGTGATGCTGGCACAGCAAAATTACACTTCATTACATCTTCAGTTTAACAAATGGTTTAAATATAAATTACACACAAAAAAAGAAGATGCCCATAATTAGTTTCATCAGGAAATGGAGACATTTCATTAAAAACGTTTCTCTAGAATATAATTGATTTTGGTATATAGTTTCAGTCAGTATTAATGCAGGTGATATGGAGTACAAACACACATAGACACCATATAACCCTGAGGTGATACTTAATGTCCCAGTAATTTTCTTTTTTTTTTTTAGTTTTACATTTCACATTCTTCCAATTATTACTACCTGAACAATAGACATTCAGCTGCTTGCCTTCTGGCAATTGCTTTGTCATGTTTACTTCAGATGTATGGACTTATATTTGTGAAGAATAGCAAACACACAAATAAATGTATTGGGCACAGAATTGATTTTTGTTTATTTAAATTAAATCATTCTTATCTACATGCAAAAAATACGTTTCTGTGTCCCATTGTGCACTCAATATGATGACTTACAGATGGATAACACATGTTTGATGCAAATAGATCATTACTGCTCTGCAATAAATTATGTCAGGCCAATTCATTTCTTCGTGTATGTTGTGACAAGCTGGAAAAGGGTTGTCACAATGTGCACTCAGCAAACCAAAAAGGATCTTGTAAAGTGACAGCTCTCAAAGTCAAAGCTGCAAGGCCATTTGTCCTTTGAGTTGCTATCTGGAGCCACTGTGGTGTGTGTGTGTGTGTGTGTGTGTGTGTGTGTGTGTGTGTGTGTGTGTGTGTGTGTTTCATGATTTTATATCCCGGTGGGGACTTTAACCTGAATGCACCTTAACCTTAATGGGTTAAGGTTATATGAAGGGTTAAGGTCAGGCATGTAGTTTAGATGGTTAGGGTAAGGGGCTAAGGAATGCATAATGTCAATGAGATGTCCCCACAGGGATAGAGAAACAAACGTGTGTGTGTGATTTGCTCTTTCTAACATAAAGGCCATGACATTCCTGAGATTACTGATATTTCAAGCAACTTGCTACTGAATGTTAAACCACTTTTGCCAACCATGCTTCTGCAGAACTAATGCGTTGTTTAATAGTGTTATAGTGACTAATTAAAATAAGAGGGTGATATATGAGCATCAATTAAGGGGAATTTCAAAGATGAAACAGTTTATCCAAAGCCATTTTAATGACTGCATATAGCAGTATACATATCTCTGACTCAAAAACAGATTTGTATTGACTTACTGCAACTTGCATGTCACCTGCTCTGTAGTTTTTGCTGTAGTCGGATGTAGCAAGACAAAACTGTAGCTTTTCCTAAATCAGCGTGTTTCCCTCTCTCCACAGAGTTCTCCGCAGGATTCAACCTCTTCACCAAACCCATCCTATATGGACACATGACCAGCAGCAGCTGACAGGAAGAACATAGATAAAAGGCAGATGGACCGAAATGAAGGGCAACAGACACCAACGCCATGACAACCACAGTGGCTCTGCCGACTATCAGCACGCACCGGAAGAGAAGGATATGGATTTACTTGTAGTTTTTATTACCTTTTTTTTTAAAGAAATTGTGGAGAAAAAAATATACTTACTAGGCTAGAAGCATGATTTCGTATAAAACAAAAACCAAACACAAACAAAAAAAACTAGCAACCAAAACGTGCTTCCTGTTATCTGTATCAGCATGAGTGACTGCTGCCGCATGGCCTGTCTTTAACTACAAATACTGAGGGAATACAAGGGAGGGAAAATGGGAGGGGAGGAGACACTGCTGTGTGGGACAGGCATGTAATGTTGGGTATGGTCAATCATTGGCCTGTTTTCAAAACCAACAGGGGAAAGTTCATCAGTTAAAAAAGGGAGACTAAAATACTGAAAATTACATAATCTCTAGGCAACAGGTTACTCGCCCTCCTCCCTGCCACTAAGAGCATCACAACCTAGTTTTAAACCTGTCCCAGTGCTCTTAAAGTCCAGTAAAGCTACAATTATCACCCAAGGATATTGGTGTTGTACATAATATCGTATGCACTAAAATGCTCTACGTGACTGTGTGTTACGTGTGTTTATGTTCTGAGATCCCTATGCGATGCCACTGATGCTGCTGTTTCAGGTACATACGAATTTCCTCCCCTGTTTTTCTCGTTTGGTTCGTTTGGTCTGAACCTATATATAATTCTATATATCTTGAGATCTTTGTGGGTACAAGAACATACAAATGTCGTGTCGCTCTGCCTGTTTTAAACGTCAGATTTTTGTGTGTCAAGTTGTTTGTTTCTTTGTGCTTTCCATGTGCTTTCGCCCTTTGCTTTTGACATGTCAAACTGTAGAGGGAAGACATACTGTAAGTCATTTACTGTACTGATGGTGTTTTTGAGCTTTGGGAGGCGGGTTTCTGCAGTGAACCCGCCTCCCCGACCTTCCCTCAGAGTGGTTTGCCTTGTGGAGAGCGTGACAATGAGATAATTGGCAGAGTGACAGTGAGTGACAGATTATAATGAGAGATTAACAACCCCACTCCTCCGCCTTTTCTTGTCCCCAGAGTGTTGTATCCTTGTGAGGTTTTGTGTTAATCAGATGTCTGTCTGAGCCAAAATCCAAATACCCGTCTTCTCCCTCAGTCTTGGCCCTTATCGCCCTACCTCCACCTCTCAACCCCGTCACCCCTCCAGTCAGCCTCTCAGAGTAGATGTAGCAGTCCTGACCACCTCCAGCAAGGGGCAGGATCCCACCTTCGGCAGTGTCTGTCTGACATCACACATGAGGTGCACTTATAGACCATCTCACCACCACCCGAAGATGTCACTTAATGAGGGTAAAGTAGCTGAAACGCTGGTAATAATGTAGCACTGGTTTGACTGGGTAAAAGATACAGAGTCAGCTGGAGAAAGGAAAGTATCGTGTCGAGGATGTGTTGAGCTTTGATGTTTGTCTCCTTGGTAATTCTGTGGAGTGTAGCAAAGACAGTCAGTCACCAATCACTGTGATGAGAAACTGTAATACTGACCCGCAACTGTGAGCCTGACCCTTCTCGAAGCGTGGCCCTTGTTTCACTCCTTTCTTTAGTGTTACGTCTTTTTTTCCCCTCATGATTTACTGTCTTAACTGTGCTTCAGGAGACGCAATAACTGCTTACAAAAGGAAAGGATTGTTTGCATTAGTGTGTTTGAGTGTGTGTTTGAGTGTGACAGAGAGAGCGAGGATTTTAGGATCATAGTTCATGTTCTTCCTAAACTCGAGCTTTCAGTCTGTTTATCACAGCTTTAGGCTACTCCTCACTCCATTCTGAAATGATGTCAGTGCATTAGTATCCCACATTTTATCACTCTGCCTCTCTAGAAAAGAAAACGTTTAAGTTCTACACTAATATTGGGCGAGTATTGGTATGAGTTCATACCAGCCATCCCATCTGCAAAGTGCCCAGTGTCTGTTTTTGTTACTCATCAGGTAATGTAGGTGTGTTTAGTCATAATTTTTAAACCTTAATGACATTCATATGCACCTTGAAAGAAATCCTATTTTATGTGTGTTTGTGTGTGTGATTTTAATGTCACATATTTAGTCCTGGATATTGGGACATTGGTGAAGTTGTGATAATAACACAAGGAAGTAATATTCCAAATGGACAAAGAGCAGAGGCTCTCAGATTATATGTGTAATTCTAATTCACATTTTTTAAAGTTGATTTACCTCAATAAGCGTGCCATCTCACATGATATCATTATCCTTACATGCATTTATTTCAAACATTATGTCAGACATTGAATGCTTTATTATGGAAATGTACTGCAATAATCACCCCTCAATAAGTGTTTGTTCAGTATGGCTTCACAGCCAGAGATGATGAATGTAAAGTCTTGGTATACCGTAAGTCTTGTTATAAAGTAGTCATCTGTGTTGGCTCTGTACTTTAGTAGATGAAAGAGTTGATCATCAACATTCATGACAAACATAGATACAAATCATTTAGGAGGAGAGATATAAAGAGAGAAGCCTCAAATGGGTTTTGGACACTTATCCCTTCAGATATTATTTCTATTTTATTATCTTTTATTAATAACCACAAAAAGTTAGATGTCAATAAAGATTACACAACAGTGTAACTGTGTATTACCCCTTATGTTATAGCATACGGTCTGCTCTCTAAGGGCTCATAATTATAATATGCTTGGGTATGTTTCTGAAGCAGGGGCTGTTTATACTTCCACTGCTGATGTCAGGGTTAGTGCGAGCCGGGGTGGGGGTGGGAGGGTGTCTGATGAAAAGACAATGAAAGGTAGCAGTTTGGAGTGAGATGGAAGGCTCGGTGGCTCCGACGGCTAGTCTTTCGAGATGACAAGCATTTTTTCCTCAACACAACCCACTCCTGTTCTATTTCCACCCCCTTACCAAATATAAGACTGAGACAATTCTAAGGCTTCCACACGGTGACACTTTGAATGCGGTTTAAACGGACGAGTACAACTAAGTGCAAGAAGATGGAGGATTGGTTACGTAAGAAAAATGAACAATGGAAAGCCCTGCACTGAGGGACCACTGAGATGATGCCATGCACCAAGTTCATGCAAAAATATTAACTGTTGCAAAAACTAGAGAACACATGTATATTCCTTTAGAATGGATTGAAGACATTATTAACGCAATAGCATATTACTCAATACTAAGGAATGCAACTGCGCACATGCACAGAAAATGTTTTTAACATAAAAGGCTATATATGAAATATATGAAAATATATAAATATATATATTTACTTAGAATGCTATGCACCCTTTCTTGTCAAATGGGATTCTAGTTATGTTATGGATGTACTTTTAGCATCATACAGCTGTAGCTACCAAGAGACTGTTGAGTTCTGGGTAATGCCTGCAACCTGGGGATAAATAGGGGTCTTGTGGGTATTTTAACCTGTTTTGTTTGCTTTTTTTATTGTTATGGAGAGTTGAACACGAATTTAAAATATAAATGTAAAAGCCTTTTAATCCAATCAAATCCGAGGACATCTATTGACAATTTACTCTGTACACCAGCTCAACATTTACAAAATTAATAAAGAAATGAAATGTCTTTGTGTATAGCGTGTATGCTTTTGTGTTAGACATTTACTTCACATGCCCCAACTACCAATGATCATACGGTAGTTTTGACCAAACAAAGTATTACGAACACGCTGGATTGCCCCAGGCCTTGTCCTGTGCCTACTGCTGAGCAGAAATATGAAGATGATTACATGTCATTAGGCTTTAAACACAGTACCAAATGTTTAACATAATGATCTCTAGCAGAGCTTCTCTTTGAAGCTCTATTAAAGTAAGCATATAAATAGACAAATTAATGCACCAGTGACTAGAATCCACAAGTCTGCAAAGAATGGTAAGATGAGTAAAGTATCCATTTTCAGTATCCATTAAATCAATGCAATTCTGCAAACAGCAGATTTTGCTTGTTTGCCAAAGCTTAGGTAGTTTCTCTAGGAGTTGAATTGATACTTAAAACAGAATGAATGTTGAACTCTGTACAGGCATTATGTGCCAGTAGGGGGCAGAATAAGTTCATTTTGTCCACATCGGGAGTATTTTCCCCTGCAGCTTGTCTGCTGTGTTGTTTTGTGTGCATGTGGAGTTAGTGGAAGAGGAGGAACGTGTGCTCAGGTCCTTTTAACAAAGAACCTGGACACTTTGTGTGTTGGAAACTGCATGTTGCAATGTCTGTAATTGTCTAGATACTACCGTTCATCATTTGCACTTATGAAAAACAGGTATTTATTTTAATTTAACCGTAAGTAGCCATTCTGTTGAGCCAAAGCAATATCCGATACAGGCGCGTTGTGGCTTTGTTGTTTAGTCAAAGCAAGACTTTCTGCCCGTTTCATGTTATTTAGTTAGCTAGCTTTAGTTTATTACAGCTGAGAGAAGATGTCCACTGACTGCCAGAAGACCACTGCCAAGGCCATCCCGTCGACCAGGAGGGTGACCATCAACGACGCGGCGCACATGCCCCACGACTACTCCACCACTCCCGGAGGGACCCTGTTCAGCACGACCCCGGGTGGTACGAACTGCTGTTATACGTATTGTTTACTTGTGTATGCCGAAGAGACGTGCTGTCACCCAGGGCCGTGCATGATGTATAGTCTCATCGACTCAACAGAACAGCTGTATTGTCAGGGAGCGCTCGGGCTAACTCCATGAGGTCGGTTGCTGTCAAATGCCACTGTGCAGAACCAGCTACTAGCTCTGATTAAGCTAACTGCTAATGCTAGCTAGCTAGCTAGCAAGTGTTTGGCTGAAAAGAGAAGAGTTACTGCCTCTGAAGCAGTAAAGTCATTGTGATTCTAGGCCCGTGGGTGGTATATACCCACACCGCTGCTTTGTCATTAAGTGAGCTGTGATTTCGGTGTTTATTGTGGGTTTTATCAGCTGATCTAGAAACCTTAGCGACGCCTACTGTCCTTTGCTGCTAATGATGCTCGTCGTGGCCATACGTCACCGACAACTAAAGCTGTGATTGGTTCTTTCCAGTGTGCGCTATCTTGGGGTTAACTTTTTGTTTAGTTGTAAAATACGTTTTATGTTGAAGTTTTATATGAAGTACACCGAGTCTTGATAAACGTGAGATTTAATTAGTAATACGTTGCTATCTTTAGACTGGTTCTCATTGGTGATGTGGTGTCATTAGCTCATCCCTCGTGGACAGTGTGTGTTTATAGACTAATCAGACTACAACAAATACATAGCCTTAAGCAATTTATTAGTTTTTGAATCTGGGGAAGTGGGAAAAACAGTCCTCAAAACTACTGTATATCTGAACTATCTTTAACCAAATCTCCTTTGGACTGAGCCACTGATGGTGAAGCAGCCGATGAAAGTGCAACCTCATTGCTTCTCTTTTCCTGCCTCTTCAACCAAAAGGTACCAGGATCATCTATGACCGAAAGTTCCTGCTGGGGTGCCGCAGCTCTCCGCTGGCCAAGACCCCTCCACGAGGTCTGCCCAACATTCCAGGGGTGACCAGTCCTTCCGCCAAAGACACAGCTGAGAAGGCCCACAATGGAGAACTACTGAACAACAACAATATCGCTGCACCTGATAGCAGCAACGCTGGTATGTGCACACCACAGTCGAGCATCACAGGGTGGCCCTAGGATTTGTAGTGAAGGATTCAGTCTTGGATTTGAATGTAGCTGCTGAAAACTACAGCGCCGATTGGAACCTCTGATGAATCCTTCACCTCAGTTATGTCATGTGCATCACTATCAGTCATCAGATCATTAAACTGTTCACATAGCTGCCAGTTTGAGATTTGAACAGAAGACAAAAGGAGGTTGTTCATGCCATTTTGTGTCACACTATTGTTCTAGCCTGAGATTGTGTTTATGTTACCTGAAGCCTGTTTAGGACGAATGTGTAATTTTGCTGTAACTAATCAGTGCTTAGTGACATATCTGTCCTGTCAGCATCATTTCCAGCTGACACAAAAGTGGCATTTGCGGTTACAAGGAGCAGTTAACGTTTTTCATGCCGATTGCAGAAGTCGATTTTAGAGTTGTTATTTCTGTCAGTCGACAGCTGTGTCCCCACCATCTTGGCATGTTTTTCTGTCGCAGTTTTTCTTGCTTTGGCACAAGAAGGTGAACTTATACTTTCTTAACCCCTCTTACCCCCTCATTCCTTAACCCCTCTTACAAAGCTGTTATTGACTTGGCTGTTTCTGAGTGGGGACATAGACCTGCCTGAGCACAACTTTTATTGAGTACTTAAACATGAAGATGGAGTCTGTTAGAACTAAACATTCATTTCAATGTAATTTTTTGTAATCAAAACATATTTGAAGGCATTTCAAGTTCTATATCCCTGTTAAAACACATTAGTTTACAATTCTTGGATTTACTTTCCTTATAGTTTCTTTGGTTTCAATTGCCCTGTGGTGAACTCTTGCTATGGTCACTTCCTCCTCCACGCTTCCTGAAATATTACTGTTTAGTTTGTAGAGGTATATATAGTGTGAGAATGTAGTAAAACATTTGAATTATAAAATATTTCTCTTTTTTTTCTCTCTTGCTCTTCACTCTTTTTTTAAAGGTGAAGACTCACAGTTTGAAATGGACATCTAGGTGGTCCTGGAGTATAAAGATGTTAGACTTACCAAAAGATGCTGTGAAGAGAGGCTCAGGAGCACCTTCTGTGTTCCTATCATCCATTCCACGAGGACGGAGGTTCACCTTCAGTATCTCCGGCGTCTTAGTGATTTAAAGTCTGTCTTTATCAATCTCATATGCTTGTTTTGCCCAGAACAAATTTCTAATGAAACTTTTCTTTTCTGTCTGCCAAGGCTTAAACCTGATTTATGTGTGACAAAGTGTGCCTTCCTGTAGTGGCTACAAGTTTAAAATCAACACTCAGAAGTACTTAACACCAACAATGCCTCAACAATCCATAAGAACTGAGATCGAATAATAAAAATCAATTGGGGAAAAAGAAAAATTGAAATTAACTGGATTTATAACCATTCCAGGAGGGTTTGTCACTTGGTGTGCTTTTATTTCCACACATTTTTTGACACCTTTCTTCAGATAATGCCTTGAAATGTTCAAGATACTGTATAATTTGTCAATTGTGCTCTTAAAAAAAGAGTTCTTCACCTGAAGTGTCATACAGAGAATGTAAAACAATTTTGTTGATGAAATTTTGAAACAGATTTTCACACAGTTTGTAGGGTTACAAGGCATTAAAGCAAACACCATTAAAGCAAACAACACTTTGTTTTTGTCATCTGTTTGACAAGGTGGATTAATTGTTTGCTCCTAGTGAGTCTTGTTCTGTCATGTCAATGGATTGTACTTTTACAATAATCAGGGTAATGTCTTCAGTTCACTGATCTGAAGCAACAGCAAAAACTCAAAATTCCTTATTTCCGTTGTGAAATGATAAGTAAAAATCTCTTGACCACAAGTTGTTTCCTGCTTTAAAGTAAGTGAAGAGCTAATACACATTTTGAGATGATAAATCGTAACTATAACATGTTGCTTAACAGCCTTTAGCACTTCCTGTGTTCCCTGATTCAGCACAAGTCATATCAGAGGAATTCCTCAAGACTCTCACTGGCAACTGATAACCTCAGTCAGTGGACTGTATAAAGAGAGGTCAATATACAACTGCACATAGCGGGGAGAAACTCCCTGCTTTCCAAGAGCTAGGTGGGATCATGTCACTGTGTGACATTTTCATTCCACTTGTGCCCAAGTTTTGCTGCGTTCATTCTGAAGTAGCATACCGGGCTTTCCCTTTGATGAGAGTATTACATAAATGCTTCCAAATAATGGATGAAGGGGATGTCCCAGGACACCTCAGACACTACTGCACTGAACTATTCAGTATTTCTGGTCCACTGTGCTGAGGTAGTTTGTAAAGATATGCAAAATCAGGTGGAATTGAATAATTAGCTATCCACATACAGTAAAATTTAAATTAATAGCCCAGGCTTTTATTTGGTTCAATTACTAAACTACCTGACTATATTTCGGACAGGCCTTTAATTCCTTTTGCACAAAACTCTTGCTCAGCAAAGTTGGGAAATCGGCACTTATCGAGTTGTTTATTTCAACCAGTATGAATATTACTCGTCTCACTCGTTTACCATACCGGTAGTCTGAATTGTTTCCATAAAATTAACTGAACGATTGAATTGTGGAGAATCTAACCGATCTTACAATGTGTAGCATGTCCATACTGACAAAAGTTTGAACATTTATATTTTATGTGCAATCTAAGCAGCTTAGAACTAGCTCAAGAGGGCTTTAAAAGGCTTTATACATCCACAAATAAACCAGACAAGGCGTCTAATTGAGACCTGCATTTATTTTTAAAAATGTGTAGCCACACCGGCCAATAAAAGGGACAGGGTTCTATTTGGGACTAGGCTTTTAATTGAAGTTTTACAGGATGTGAATATGAACAGTTGTGTCCAGCACTGACCTGTCCCACCTTAACACCATGGGAATGGACAGGCACAAAAAATGGCACGATAGTTTGACGAAAAACAATAATCATTGAGTTCTGTAAACCATAATGACGGCACGTAGGCTGATGCTGTCAAAAGTACATAATAATAATGAATAACTGGACCTTGTGCAGCAGAAAAGAAGGCATGCTGTAGGTCCACTTATGTGAACACAACTACTGACATAAGCATTAAAAGTTTGAGCAGTTCCTATTACATCTGCATGAATGTACAATTGTTCCTGGTACCAAGCAGAAGGTTTGTTCAGGATGGAGAAGATGTGTGAGAACTGACACATGATTTGGAGGTGAAGACATTTAAGCTCCTGCTACTGCTTGTTGTGTTATCTGGACAAACACTGTCAAAGTGCCACATCAGCTTCATTATTGCAAATGCATTGAATATGGTCATTGTATAACTCAGATAGGCATAAACAATAGATTGGATACTTTTCTGTTGTTTTATTGAGCTTAAAAAAAGCAAATTATACCAATAAGTTTCAGTTGAATAAAGGTGAAAGTTACTAGAGAACTAAGTCTGGTCTTGTCTTGGGTGGAGGTGTGGATTGGACAGTTTCAGCTGATCAGTTCCAGTCCACCCTGTCTTTCCACCACAGTAGCTTCAGCATCCAGACGTTGACTCTCTCCATTCCCTCACATTGCTTTCTGATTGTTTGTGGTCTAAATCTCTTGTGGTGGGGTCTAAATCTCTGAATCTTGTCACCTCTGCTTCCTGAAACCCCTCACCCCCTCCCCATAGTAAACAAATGCAACTGCTTCTCTCTCCCCTATTGCTCCATCCTTCACCATGCTTTTTGTTGTGTTCCACCCACCCCGTCTGTTTGATCACAATCCACAAAAAAAGACCTGGCTAGAAAGCACTCTAATGTCCTCTGATGGTGTGTGCACTGTGATGTGGATTGGAAGTGAGGAAGGCAAATACAATATGATGTTATCTGGTCACAAGTCACAGAGGGCAAGTGGGATTACAGTGTAGAGGAGTATCAACCAGCAGGTTGAGCCTCTGAGAACTGCTTTATGTTAGAAAGATTATATATAACGTGTTTTTCATTCTGTATAATAGCTACTGCTGACAGATTCAACAACAATCACTACAAATGAAATCCACATAAAAACTGGCATAAATAAACACTGCAAAAATGCATGGAATCAAATAATGTATATAAAGATTTAAGTCTTATAAGCAACAGAATACTTTATTATACCATTTAAATTGTAATTTAAATACCACTACATCCATGGCACTGAAATGTTTTATTGATTTTCTTTGTGGTCTGAGTTCCCCTCTTTAAAATTTCAATGTCAAGCTGTGCAATTTCAAAAACTTTATATCCAATGTACATATTTATAGGGTTCATAAATACCAAATAATCAAACATTCAAATTGCTCAAACTTAAGAGTGTCCAAAGAAACATGAAACATCACAGTAATGTCAAAATAAATGTTTTAATATATTTTTTCAGGTTTTATGTACAAAATATACATTATAATGTATAAATAGATAAAACATAAGAGTTGCATAATGGAGCTTTCTCCTTACTAAACATATATACTATTGTGTACCACCGAGTATGGATTAAATATATTCATTTAAACAGTCATATCCTGTCAATAACAAAAATGCATGGTTAGGAACTCTCCATTTAATATTAGAACATTAACATTTACATGAAGACAATAAAGAAACAGTTAAATTAAACTTCAAGATTATGCTCCGTCAGTAGTTGCTGTTGTGAATGCAGTGACGGGCTGCGCTTCAGTGGCAGCCACACTCTTCAACGATCATGTCCTCGTGATGCCGCAGGGCCAAATCATCGTTCTCGTAATACAGCATGGAGAGCGGGCTGAGGCGCGTCGGCACGCAAGACGGGCAAGACCCTCTTTCTGGATGGTGATGTCGCAAGAGACTCTGAAAAACACATGAATAATTCACATGAATAAACCAGCAACTATACAAAAACTTGGGATTGTTCAACATTCTAAAGAGTTAAATGGGGTTAAAAATCTCACCTGCATGTACGCATGGTTGGTGGGATGGAAGGACTCATCCAGTGGTGTAGGACAGTCTCCCTCACAGCGATACGCATTGTAGCGCTTGGGGTGCACAATCCACTCGTCCCAGCCGATGTGGTCAAAGTCCACCCACATGTCCACTTTACGACACAGCGGCCTCTGGGCTGGCTCTGCTGCTGGTGCAGCAGTAGAGGAAGCTCCATCAGTCACTCTCATCCTTTCTATTCTGTTCCTTTTGTGGCGTCGACTTTGACTGTCACCGCCGACTCTGTCCGTGGTCACATACTTGGAGTTCTCCACAGTATGAATGAGACTGTATGCTGTATGGCCTACCTGGGGCAGGTTATGTTTGGAGAAGATGACCATCATGACCCTGTTCATAGTTGGATGGTGTATTTTGCTTTTTCGCAAACCCATATTCCGGAAGAGGGACTTGCCAGTCATCTCCCCTTCATCCCCAGAACCGTTCCCATGGTCCATCTCAGGTTCTCCTGAGGCCTCTTGGCTCGACATGCCATCTCCCTGGTACAGCCAGTACTTTAAGAGAGCAGTCACATTCACGACCTTCCAGGAAGACTTTGTGCTGCTGGGTGAAGTGTTGAAGCTCCCCAGGAAAAGGTGCTCATCCTGGCATGATGTGCTGTCTGGGTCACAGCTCTGCTTTCTAGAGTGATATAAATCCACAGTGGCGCGATTAGAGCCAGAGAAAGCTGGTAGTCTGATCCGAAGTTCCGCCAGCTGGACAAGCTCACTAGTAGAGACTGATGACATGTCAAACGTGACTGTCCATCGTTCACCCACTTGATGGCAACCTAAAAATGGGACAATGAATGTAAATGAGAATTCAAATTCACACACGGCAGTCAGCAGTCTGGTTGATTCTGGGCAAACCAGATCTCTGGACAAATGTCAAAACACTGGAGTGGGAGGTTGAACAGGACAGGATGTGTATTGAACCCCCCTGTGCAAGGCCGTCTGAGGGCTAATATACTCACCTTCTCACATAAAACAGAGAAAGCCTTTAAAGTCGAATAAGCATTTTGACACTTGCGGGGTTGTAAAAAAGGGAGGGTCTGATTACACAGATAATGCACCAACGAAAGAGCTGCTGGATGATGCACTGAGGAGAAACTAACATACACACTACATAACATGCTTTAAATCCAGTGATGAAAATAATTAATGTAAAATTAACTCTTTACTCACCTCTGGCCATCAGACTCAGGACAGAGTCAGAACTGCGTGCTGACGGGTTGTCACTTTGTTTCTGAATGCTGTTGACAGCTACTGACCATGATGAATCCACAGTCCTGAAGGAGCGGTACAGCTGCATCATGTACAGAGGGTATCCGCTGCGATGACTAACTGAGAGGTTTCTGAATGCTAAACTGGCCTCGAGGCCTGTGTGATACCTGTGCCCCTGAGTGGAGAAAACAACTCCTAAAGAGCAGAGGAGGAATGTGTGGAAAACTCTAGCTTCCATTTCAACTGAAACTCACTAAATCTACTCCAACAATGATGAGAGAGGGGCAAAGATCTCCTTCCTTCCTCTAGCTGGTCTCAGGCTGAAATGATGCTATGTGCAGACAGAGCTCCAGACAGGCCCCCTTTATAGTGGACAGCTGCCCTTTGATGACCCCTGGCCACTCCAGGCATCTGAACAGCCCCTCTGATCATCAGAGCACATCAGAGGGGCAGAAAAAAAGAAAACATTTAGCCAAGGTCATTGTCCTGTCAAACGGCCCGGCCTTTTATATTTATCGAGGAGCCTAGACTTTAGAAATGTAAAAATCCATTAACAAATGACACGTTAAATGCTGTACAGCAATTAGCACCTTGCTGTTTAGTAATAGTGGCAGATGTAATGTAAAAAAAGACAGTTTTAAAAAAAGAATGTGTTTATTTATTAAGAAACAACAAACACAATAATTGTCTTAATTCAGTTTTACAGCCAGTCAGGAATGTGTAGAACAGTACCTTTAACACAAACTATATTATGTTCAGGAAACTTTGCTGCTAAATAGTCACGATGACAGAGATTTAGTATATGATTTACACAGGCTATAAAATCGCTTTCAGATTTCAAATGGTATAAACAGTATAGTACAAGAAGTAACTTTAACTACATAGTGAATTTCAAAACAAATAAATAAACAAGCTAAAAAATACAGTGTGTTTTATGAGGTTATGGTGCTGCAGATGTTATTATTCTATATTAATAGAGGCTTCGGTATATCAGTCAGTCAACACACTTGACTGACTGAGGTCCGCCTGTTCTCAAATGTTTCCCACTGCCGGTGGCTGCCGATGACTGTCTTCTCATAAAGCATCAAAGAAGTTCTTCACCTGTGAATGAAAAGGTATTTTAGGATTTCCGGATCCCAGTGGATCAGATATATGAAACCCATCAAACACCAGATCAGAAAACAGAAACGTGTCAGTGTGGTGATTCTCAAGGTTGATGAGGTCTCAAACACTAGGACAGGGCCCTCGTGTGGTTGTCCCTGGCGTAGCAGCTATTGTGTCAAAGTTCAACAAATAAAACATACCCTTGTTATAAACTGCTCGCGCACCTCTGGGTCACACAACTCCACACTGGCGTCGAGTTGTAACACAGGTATCTGTTTCAACTTCTCAAAATGTATCCTGGAAAAAGAGAGCAAAGCTGTATTACACTCTGCATTACATTTACAGCTTCAAGTCCCCAGACCACACACCACCGACCATCATCTGTTCATAGCCGAGCAACAAACAGCTGCATGGAGAGGCATTTTAAATGGTGATCGTCAAACAGAAATCAGGAGTCCTCTAATATAATGGCTGTACGGTCATTTTTACTTTTAGAATTTATTTTTTAAATTTTTAAATTTCATACCAGATTCTGGTTGGATAATGCACAGGTCATCACCTAAAGACCCATTTTAAATGTTATTTAAAACTTTGTTTTTACACCGTGCACATCAGGCCTGCATTGACAGCAGCCACCTGACTGTATACATGTTGTATCAGTTAGGTGTAGCCTGTATAACTGTTGAGAAAAGTGTGACTTTACAATTCACACACACAAATGAAGAGAACAAACAATTCAAACATGATCTCATTAGCACTCACTCAGTGCACTTCTCAACAAGCCACCTCTCATGTTGAACGTGTAGCTTATCCAGATAGTCCAGTTTCACTCCCTTTTCTTCAGCCCTTCCCCGATGCTCCAGACGCTCCATACATTTCTGGGATGCAAAAGTACAATGCCTTTGTCTTTCTTGTCATGAAAGAGGGTAAATGAAGATGATGTACTGTTACAGTAATAATTATATAAACACTAACAACTACCACAAGCTAAATCGATGTGCTGAAAACATGGTTTTTCCTTAGGAGTTATTGTTACGTTAATTGTATCTCTTGAATGTTTATACCTGTGGTGGGGCTCTGAGGTAGATGATGCCCTCCAGCTCCACCTGGTGTCCAAACTGCTCCACCAGGAGGGAGTGCCAGTCCTGGTAGACTGCCCACTCTGTAGAGTTGATACAACCCAGCTCAAACATGTTTAGGGCAAAGATGTATCTGACAGGAGGGAGACTCACGTTTAATTTTATGCAAACAAAATAAATAACAATGAATTTGCACAAGCACATATGTCCATTTCATGCTAATTCCATCCTTAGCATCACTTATTGTAAAACAACAATTATATCTAGTGATAATGTGTGAATGTATGGATAGTGGAGTAAGTCTACAGCTCCCTATATCATTCTGGTTGAAATAGAAGTTGGTTAAGAAGATATCAACACCCTCTCGCCCATATAAAAGGTGCAATGACCCACACACACACAAACGACCACTAACAATCCAACCTCTGTAGACTACCTTCCCATGTTATACTTGCACTACTACGTACTTTTTTTGCACATTGTTATTTATGTTATTCTATGTTGTTATTGTGTCACTTGTCATTTATGTCTTAGGCTGTTTAGTTAATGTTGGATGTTGCTGGGAGGATTCACAGAATGAGAATTTCATTGTACTGTGTAACAACTGTTTCCTGTACATATGACAATAAAGTTTGATTTGATTTGTTATGGGATGATAATGTCCATGTAAAGAACCCAAAACTGGAGTTCCCCTGACACGATTTTCATTTTCACTTTCCTCCTCCTGTCCTGACTCGCACACCTGTCGCTGTAGACTGAGCGCTCATACACCTGGACAGGTGTTCCCTCTGAGCTGAGCAGGCGAGCTGGAGGAGGCTGCAGCTGCGTTCTCAGCCGACTCATACAGGAATACGTCTGAAATGTGTACGACCAGCGCTGAGGGTCCTGGTACATCATCTGCAGCAGGTTGCTGACTGTTGTCTGATGGGACGCATCTGCCTCCTGCCAAACATACAAATGAAGATGGTAAGTTTGGCCTGCTTTGATTTTTGTTGGGGGGAAAACATACAGAGGTCAGGAAATGTGCACACCTTTGGGGTCCCAGTGTCAATGTTCTGCCACTTGCTGACAGGTTCTGCCACCACCTCCCAGTCTGGACAAGCTGACTGCAAGAGTCTTGCAAAGGTCGACTTTCCAACAGCTGATGTTTGAGAGTAAGTACAGGAGGTCACTCACATTATGGCACAAATTGTTTTATCTTATTTTGAAATACTGTACTTACCAATGTTGCCCTCGATAGAAACTCTCTTAACTCGAGCTGTTCCGTCCACGGTTGAAGAACAACTGCGCTTCCCCGATTCATTAGCCATAGTACCGAGACTAGTTGTTACCTGTGTTATGGCTGTGTCTCCACCTCGCAGGAAGCTGTCAGGTGTCTTCCACTGTGCAGGCGCATTATACCAAAATCTCATGAGCTGCATCAAACCGGTTTGTTTTTTTAATTTGGAAACGCATCGATACAGGGCAGACATTATGACCGGCAGAAGTGCTACATAGGGATAATTACAATTATGTGCGTCTCACTTGGTGTTTGCTAATGTTAGTGCGTTAAAGTTTACGATAACGTTACGTTACCCTCATGGTAACTAGCTCATCCTCACATGAGCTTGCGTTATGAATGATGTGTTTAACGGTACAGCTAAATGGCAACTATTACTACATTTACTACATTTGTAAACACCGATATATCGGTCGCATTGTTCCTGTAGCCCTCGTGTTTCGTATATTTGCTGCTGTTACGTAAAATTACTAAGATAGATTTATAAGAAGTTGTACCTGAATGCTACAAACAGTAGCAACTAAAAGTACTTCCGGTATACGTTCTGTTCTGTTCCTTCACAATAAAAGCCTTTATGGTTTGAACAGAAAATTGATAGCAAACGACTAATATTGACTGGACTTCAGACGTTCAGCTAAAAGATACATGAACAGATAATGACTGTATATGCAGCACAGTTTGAGGTGGTGGCAGTGCGTTTGGTCATCAACCCGGAAGTACTTCCGTAGTGCTTTTATGCCGCGTTCCAGACCGGTCGAAACTGGGAAGTTGAAATATCCGACCTCAAAGCTTTTCAGTTGCATGGTGGTGCATGACGCTAAATGTAAACAATAAACATGTTTGACCGAGACAAACTTATGTTTCTTTGGCCAGTTTATTGCCGCGTTCCAGACTGTTCGGAACTGGAAAATGTCCGAGTTGAAATCTCTGACTTCCACCCAGTCGCACCCTCTTCCTTGGTGTTCATTACAATTAGGGACGTTTTAAAGAAAACGGTGAACTGAAGTGGTAATCCTCAAAAGACAATAAACGTTGTAGATTAGCCTATACTTCGTAAGTTTTCAAATGTTTTGGCATTTTTAACATTTTCCTGAATAACTTTTGTGTAGAGAAGATGTCTTTCAGAGATTGTTTATGGTAACAGCTACCTAATAACATTGACAAAATATTTCTACATCAATTTAAATGCAGAACAAGTTTTACTATTTGATACTAGTATGTATTATTTTCATTTAATACTTTACTTGCCTTTTAGTTTATGGTTTACCATTTACAACGTGTGCTTCCATGGGAGCTGCTATTGTTGTGTGACGTCATTCGGCTGATACTGGTGAAGTCGGGGTACATATTTTTTCCCCGAGTTCACCAGTAGGAAATCTGACTTCAAGTGGCGTTCCAGGATAGTTTTTCCAGTTGGAAATTTCCCAGTTCCGAGTTACCTGGAACGCAGCATAAGATTGTCCCTAGATGGACGAGGTCCATGCATGGATGTGTAAAGACAAGGACCGAGGAAGGTCATAAAAGGTGTTTTCATTTCCACAGAATAGTTACAAGCTGTACAAATTAAGCTTTTTATTTATTGAGTGTGTTCCTCGGGGCGATCCAGTCACTGATTATTTGCATCATGTCTCTTTACTTAGACTTTACTTTCTAGAGGGAGAGAGATCAAGCACCTAACAACTTATAATTGAATATTCTACTTACAAACTCATAATATTGTATGACATTTAAGGCACTTCAACAGCAATAGCACATGTACTATCTTCATTTCATACTGTGGTGCCTAAACAGTTGACCTAATCACACCTCTAACAAATAAACAAACATTTTTTTAGAGTGATATTTAAGGATGTTTGGAGGCATTATTTTATGGCACCATTGTCAACCAGTCATCCTCAGCATCAGACATTAAATTAAATGTGGCATAGTTACAAATGTTCTTTTCCCCATCCATGTGACTCTGAAGACATCCAGTGTTTTATTTCTAGGATTTGATCTTCAGCTTAAATCAAAGTACTTTTACAAACTGTAACAATCTGCATGAAAATGTCAGCTATAAGAATAACATCAAACAAATGATAAAGTAATGTATGTTTCCACTGGCACCAGTTTGTCTTACATTACTGTATAGTATGACAATGACAATTTACTTTTATAATCCACAATAACTGCGCTTTACATATATAATAAAAATCATATCACAACCAAATTGCATGGTTTTGATTAGCCATGTTACTTTGTTAAGAAATCTAAAATAATCAAATAATTAAATCCAATGTCCTTTGCTTATAGATTTTATTATTATTATTATTTTTTTGTTAAATCAAAAACACAAACCTACAGAAACTCTCTTTTAAAAAGACAATTTTTTATTTGTTTAAAAAAGCACAATCACGTTTTGGAAAACATTTGTATAAACATTTCACACTCATTTAACAATCCATTAAAAAATGCTTTACAATTTACATACTAAAGTGAGGATATTCACAGCAACGTCAGTTAGTTCTACAGTGCACTTGTATTCAAAGTTCAAACCTACTCGAAATGCAAACATTCTGTGAACCACTACGACTATTTAATCAAAAATGGTGACAATGTATAATTTAAGTGTAATCACTGGTTAAAACAACAAAGGATAGAAAAAAAAACTCAAGATTAAACTGCTTTTGCATCTACTGACACTCAGTAGCTTGTGTTTTTGATGGTGATCTTTTGAGCTGCCTCAATCTTGAAATCACTGACACCTGAGGGAGCAAACCAGCATTTTGATTTATTTTTTTACCAAAATGAAATTAAAGCAGCAGATCAAAGAAATAAGGAGAAGCTGCATTGGTGAGTCACAGTGTAATGCGTGTGTGTCCTCACCCTGACTGAGTGCAGTGCCATCAGAGGAGAGGTGCCAGTATCTGCGGTCGCTCTGTCTGGCCTGCTCTCCATTCACCATACTTAAGAAAGGTCCCCATAGGCTGGACTCTGTCTCAAACCTGCCAAACAGCATCAAATATTACTCAATGAAGGCAATCATACTGGACTTAAAAAACTGTATGAACTCACATGAACCCAACATCTTTCCCCTTTAGAAGTTCAAGGGCCTCCAACAGAGAGCTCCCTTTTGGCGCATCCACAGAGTAAACAGCAGCTGCTCCGCTAGACGTCACCACTTCCACCATCACAGTCACTTTGGTCTTGCTTGGTAAAACCACCACAGGATCTATCGGCTCCAGCACCAGAGTGTCTGTAGGAAGACACCCACATGACAAACAAACAGTGAAAATACAGACACTGCCTGAAATCACAGTACACACAGGGGTAGAAATAATGCTGCATGTACCATCCTCATTGAGGCACTGCTTGCTTTTAACTGTCAGGTAGGATTTCTGGTGGAGAGCTGGCAGGATCTGAGATATAGCCATGGGGTTGTGGTATGTGTTGGATCTGGCGTCTCTCCTCATGGCTTCCATTGAGGCAGCGCACTCTGCAACTTGGCCGCCCATTGCCAATAAGGCCTTGAACAAAACACATGTTTAAGCTATAAACATTTTGCTCTAAGGGTTCATTGAATGAAATGACTAGACACAAAAAGAAAAAAGGATCCTCACTTGAACTGAAAGGCCTGTGCTGAACTCATTGCCAATATGGCCGTCAGTCCTACGAGAGGCCAAGAGCTTCTGCTTGATCTTGCTAAGGGCTGTGTCAAGCTCAGAAGCATTCTGCACATGAGAACCAGCTTCCTTCACACACTGGAGTGCCATTCCAGCCATGGCATAGGTATCTAAGGAGAGAAAGTAGAATAACGTGCATATTTCACAGAGAAAGACCAAGTGGAGTTACTGGATTCCTCTTGCATTGTGGTAGTGGTAAAAGAACTTTGCCGCCCTGAACCTTCATTCGAGCAAACCGTCTGTGCAAAAACCCGCTAGTAAAATTAATCTCAGCTAACTATGGAATTTACCTGCCTAAAAAAATACTCTATATGTAATGCAACAAAACAGCAATGTTTTTTTATCTTTCATACTATCTCACTCCACCATAGAAGATTTACAGCCTTACATCTTTGTCCACAGTATAGAGCTCAGTCATATTATAACTCCAGAAGAACTGAGAAGCATCGCTGCCTGCATATTTCCTGCAGAACATTTAGGTGTCACTCACCAACGCTCTCAGAGTCTCCATGTTTGAAGTGCTCATGTTCTACTGCCTTGATAAGCTTGTTGCTGACATGGTTGTTGACCCTGATGCCGCTCACGCAAAGAGCGAGCACACCCAGAGAGTACTGGTAATAGTTGGTCAAAGGGCGGTGACTGACTGCATAATAGGAGGCAAGAAATAAAAAAAAACAATTACATTATAACATGACTTCACAGTAATGTTCAAAACATCACAAAAGGTTCCTTATTTTTGTCACTGCCACTACAAGTTTTATCTCACTTTGGATGGAAGTCATCCATAGTTGCTCTCGTGATTAGTACTAACTTCTCTAAGTACTAACTTCTCTAAAATGGCATTGAGACATCAAAGCTATAAAGCTAAAGAGGAGCCATTATTACAATAAGATGTCCTGACAATGTTTGCCAATAACATGCTACACATATAAATTATGAAATGTTAAATTGGTTTATTCTTATTGAGCTAATTCAACTTAAGGTGTTCCAACCTGGATTTTCTTTTTGTCAAGATCTGACACCTTTACATACATTTTCTTGGGATTTCCTTTCAGAAGAAATATCTGCACTAAATAAACTCTGAACTAATTTTGTTGCAACGTAAAACAGGATGGAAAACAATTTTTATGACAACCATTGGCCTCCGAAAGGTCAAAGTAAAACTTACAGGCAATATGCTCTTTTTCTTGTTCCATCTGCTTCTTTAGGTGCGTCAGCAGCGTCTCACTCTTCTCACTGACGCTGAAGGTGATTGTGTTGAGGTCGTAGCAGGAGGACTTCAAAGCCAGCGTGTACAGCGCCAAGAGGCCAACCACAGATTGGCTGTTAGAGAGAGAGCTGTGGAAGACACAGGGGACTAAGGTTCATATGAAGCATCAAGGAAAATGATAAATTACAGACATACAGATTTAAATTAGCATTGTGTCACTACAATAACCAACTCTGAAAAATGAGGGCATTTATAAGCAGTGCAATACCTTTGAATGTCATTGTGCAAGTTATTTTTCAGTCTATTCAGGTGTTCGTTCTCCTTGGCCAGATTGTGGTTATTGGAAAGCCGTAATGCCAAGTGGACACTGGGATTGGGGAGTCCTTCCTGAGTCTCCAGAGAGCGAAGGAGATTCTTATTGAGTGACAGGAGCAGCTCACTGTGGGCTGTTTCAGTATCTGATTAATTTAATATTAGAAGAAAGAACGTCTCTCAGAAATTTTTATCACAGAAATATTTCAGTAACTCTCTCTTGCTGACACCAACATGAACTTTCAAAGAATTGCAAAACCAGAACTGCAGCATCAGCAGCCACCACAGGAGGATACAGACTGTGGAGACTTTAATAATACTAGGTCTACGTTCCAAATATGGTAATGTTTCTCCTTGATATTTACCCTCATCACTCAACCTCAACATTCTCTGCAATTTGGCAAATGCACAACTTTTATTAATGAGTGAGCAATATGAAGGA